CGGAAGGTCTGACACTTTTATATATATCTTAAATTAAAGCTAATGTAATGTACTTTAATTTGAAAAAAAAAAAATTGACCTCTGCATTTGTCTTCATGGTGAAAACGGCTACCGAATGCTATTTTTGTGTGAAAATTTTCGATTTTATAATTTACATTTTTTACTTTAAAGTGCTATAACTTTTTAAAAAATGTATGGATCAATACAATTTTTTCATGAGAAGTAGTATTTATATACATCTTTCATTGGATATACTTGTTTTTTAAATCAGGCTATTTCCCTATATATGGGGGGGCTTCAAATATAAAAAATGCATATAGAAAGTAGAACTTTTGAAAGTTAACTTTTGAAAGTGTTCCGGAAGGTCTGACACTTTTATATATATCTTAAATTAAAGCTAATGTAATATACTTTAATTTGAAAAAAAAAAATTTGACCTCTGGACTTGTCTTTGTGGTGAAAGTTGACATCAAAGTTAATAAAAAATTACGATTTTTGTAAAATAATTTTTTTTTATATTTTTAATTTAATAATCATCTAACTTTTTGAAAAATGAACATATCAATATAATTTTTTTTATATAGATGCTTGATGTCTTTACCTATTATTTGGTATATTTTTTTTGTAAATCTGACACTTAACCTGCCCACAGGAGGGGATTTAAAAATTTTCATTCGACATACTTTGTCTTAATCGAGATATTAATAAGGAACCATCAGATCAAGAAGCTTTTGGAATAAAACACCAATTTTTTTTATATTAAACACTATCTAAAGATTTGCATCGAAGCGTTTATTTTTGATAGTGATTTTAATCACTTTCAGATATCATTATACTTGATCCAACTATACCACGGCACCACTGTGCCCCGACCCCCCTGTGCTGGGTTTTTTTCAATTAAATCCCTAGAAAAAAATATACAAAGCAAAATAATAGTACATATTTAGAGTTTTTAAGTGCATGAACACATGCATATTTAATTTTTTTTAGAATTACAAATCCTCTGCCCTAATATTCATTTAAATTTTATTGTTTGACAGAGATATTTTCAAGAAAACCCTCGTGACTTGTTATCTTTACGTCATGATAAAGCATTACATACTGTAAAACTTCAAGATCATATGGCAGATGTTCCTGATTACATGATTCCCACATCTTTAAAAGAATTTTTAAATAGTCAGCAAGATATATCTGATAATAAGACATCAAATAAAAAAAAGAAAATTGGAAAAAAAAGTAAACAGGTTGGCTGTAGGAATTATGAAGAAAAAAGAAAAAACCCTTTAGCTGCAATGGAATATTCGGGACTGAAAAAAATATAAAACATTATTTATGTAAATCAATGATTGTTTAATAAACATTTAAATTTTCGATTTTATGTTAAAAACTTTATACTTATATATAATGTTAATAGTATTATACAATACTTTTTAATATCAAATTTTTTTTAACATTTGTTTGCACCTGTCTGTTGTTTTATAACAAGGGCGCGTTCAAAGTTTAACGATCTCACCTCTCTAAATTATTGTAATATAAAAAATAAAAATTCTACAAATTCCAGTAAAAATAATTAATTTTGACACACTTAAAATCAAACTCCAAGAGATTATACAGTATTTAAATAGACAAATTATAAATATTATTAATATTATGATTTTTATATTAACAAATATTCCTCTATATTTTTTTATTAATTTCAGAAATAATAAAATTGAGTTAATATTTAGGAATAACTAATTAAGCATATAATAAGAACTGATCATCTATGGCTAATATTATTAAAATTAAACATATTAATTTGAAACTAAAAAATATAAAAAGTATTTAATTCAAAAAGCCACAAAAATTACTAAAATAATGCTAATCCATCAATAGCGTTTAATCATGAGAAGGAATTGTTAAATTGTTCCTAAAGCAATATGAACTTTTATTTCCTTAATTATAATCTGACTAGTAGTTCTTTTATTTATGAGTATGATATATGAATAAATACTTATTATAGAAGTTAAATATAGTATGAAATTGATATTCAATAATTTAATATTGTAATTTTTACAGAGAACTTAAAAAAATTATAAAGTGGTATATTTCATTACTTCTATGGCAAACGTGTACAGAAATTTAAAGGGCATGATGCAATACTCTTTTTAAATTAATTTTTTGTTTATTATGAACAAATATGCTGGTCTACAAGGAATTCTTATCAGAGACCAGAATACACTTTTCTAAACCTGTTTGTGTCGATTTCAAATTAATAATTAAATTTTTTCTATCACCACTTTCTTTTAGATTAGAGTAATAAAATACACAAGAGTAATATCACAAAATTATTATACGTCAATCATGATAATGTAAGAATAAGAATATGAACTAAATAATAATAAAGGAAAAAATCTTAACAATAGAGAGGTTTGTTAAATTGTTAATCTTAACAATTTTTTACCAATTTAAAACGCAATAGATTAACAATTATATTTCAAATCGATAAGTCTTTCATTTTATTAGTGTAAATTAATCTTAGTAAAAATATCGTTGATTAGTAGTAATCACATTTTAATGCGCTTTAACTACATTGATTCGACTGATAGTAATAACAAATTTTCTTTATTTTAGTTTTAAAATAGAAAACAAAGGTTTTATCTTATATAGTAGAACTTTTTAGTTTTTGAATTGCTAGATAACTAAATAGAAAAAATTTGGAATGGCTAATTTAATTTATCTTTTTAATATCCTTATCTAACTAGTAGACTAAGATCTTGTTTCACTAGGTCACAACAAAAATCAAGTCATTGAAAATTCAATCGATTTTTTTTTTGACTTTGTCTAACACAAAAGTAGAGTTTTGCATATGAACTAAATAATAATAAAATTCTTTTAATCGATATAACAAATATTTATGTTTAATTATCAAATAACGTCATCATCATCATCTATTAATGCCTAGTCTTTGAAGCCACTCTTCTCTGTTTGACGCAAAATTCTTTAGTGAAACAAAATTTCATGAGTTTCGGGATATTTTCAAAATATTGTTTCTTTAGGTGTCCTTTTGGTTTCTTTCCAGTTATTTTTCCTACAAAGATGTTTATTATAAAGTCATTGTGTCGGATGATGTGTCCGATTAATTTTATTTTTCTTGATTCAATTACCTTCATTAGCTGTCTTTCTTCTCGTACTTTTTCTAGCACTTGCTCATTTCTTTTCTTGTCTTTGTCATTTTTCTCCATATCCATAACTCTAATGCTTCTGTCTTTCTTGTCAATTGTCCATGTTTCACTATCATATGAAAGCATACTTCAGACAAATGTTTTAACAAATCTTTTACGTGTACTAATGCTCAGATGTTTATTGGTGAGAAGCTGATTCTTGTTTTACCAATGCTATTCTTCTTCTAATGTCTGGAGTTGATTTCGTATTGGAAGCTATGATACTTCCAAGGTAGCAGAATTCTCGGACCTGTTTTAATCGTAATTTGTTTATTTGTATAATAAAACTTAGATCTGAGTGCATTTTACTTATAAGCATTGTTTTGGTTTTCATGGAATTTATTTTCATTTTAAATTTATCAAGTACATTTGATAGAATTTTTAGCATATTGTTCATATTATGTTTAGACTCTGCTGAGAAAACAATGTATTGTTACGAGAGTAACAAATAGAATAAAATAAAATAATATTGCCGAATAATTAATTAGTTTATTAAAAATAAAAGTAATAATAATCGCACAATAGTTGTCAAATGACTAACGATGCTCTGAATTACAACAGTCGCAGTCGGCCCACTTTCCGGTTTTGCAACACCGAAAAATACCTTATAAACACATTCTTATAGGCCGACCTCGATTACAATTCAATTTATGATTATCTGTTATTATAATTGTAGAACAATAATAAAACTAAGTTAAGTATTCATAACACCCCCTCCCTTAAATGGAAGTAGTGTTTGAAACAGTACTTACATATAATACTCTTAAATTACAATAAAATAATTAAATTAACAAGACTTCAGACCATACTTTCATTGCAATTTGTACATTGTGCGATATCTGGTTTATATTGTCGGGTGGTATTTTTATATTTACACAATGCATATGAAGTTAGAATTATTATTATTAGAAAGAGACAGTAAAGAAATGGGATATGAGTATTTAAGATGAAATGATCGGAAGACTCTGCTATTGTGGATTCAAGATTATTGAGATCTATTGAGTCATCTGCTAATTGATTCAAATCAAAATGATAATCATTATTTCTACTTAAAGCTAAATACTTAGATTCGATTACAATAAAAATAAAATTTTGATTTCCTTGTGGTATAGGCAAGGATATGGGGTGAAATAAATTAAAATCTAAATTAGACAATAAAGGGATTTTTAAATTAAAAATCAAAGTATAATTAATATATAATGCATCAATAGTAGTTATCTTGAACAAATCAGTTAGACTTGTAGAATAGATAGAAACTGGGAGTTCAAGGGTTGATGGTAAACTAAGACGGATTTCTTTCAATTCATTAAGTAGGATATTAGGAGGTAGGATACTAGAATGTAATCGACCACTTAGAGCTGAGTTAACTATAGCAAGGAGGTTCTGAGTTTCCCAACTGTATTGGCTAAGTAGTAGAGTTATGGTGGCTGTATGTTCAGCTAGAGTAGAAATGAATTCTACTAAATTGATTTTATCAGCATTCATTTGACTTTGCGATAGTAGTTTCTGTATATTTCGGGACATATTTTGTTGTGTTTGATCTAGATGTAGTGAGGAATTGTATGTGTGATGAACTACGGATTTCATAATGTGTATTTGTTCTTTGGATAGTCGTAGAATTTTTTCTTTATTTTCCTGAAGTTCGCTGATTTTATTATAAAAATATTCAGCATCTTGATCGGAACATACACCGAATAAAACATTTGCTATTCTACCAACGAAATTTGCTAGACCTCTCTTTTGTCGGGAGTAAAGAGAACTGCTATTCCCCTTCAGATTTAACATAGATGAAAGAGTAATATGATTGAATTCTATTTCATTTAAATAAGGTAATGTAATTTGAACAAATTGGGTACAGACTGTAGCTATTTTTATATCTTTTGAATTTTCTGATGCGTCCCGACAGTGACGCACCGTTTGATTGTAATAACCTAAGATTAAAGAATGACGTTGCTGGTAGTTCTTTAAATCCAGGTAGGAAATAAGTTGCCAGGTACTCTGGGAGATTCTGAGGGGACCATAGGATTCGTAATACAGACCGGACGTTTGATTGAACTCAGTGATATTTATGAACGCTTTTTCATAAAGGTTTTCTGCATAATATTAAGAGAAGTGAGTAAGCATTCTGTAACAAACAATAATGATTATTTGTTAATTATTATTCATGAAAGAGTTTAGCCATGTTCTTGTGGAGTGTTTGACGTTTGCTATTTTTGTTAATAACTATATTTACTGAATCAGCGTTTATGTCTAATATTTCAAAAGGACCTAACCATTTAGGAGCCAGTTTTCCTCTGTTAGCCTTTTCCTGAATTAAAACTTTATCACCAATATGAAGTGTGGGAAGGAATTGAGTTTGGTCATAGGAGGTTTTAGATTTCTGCTTCTTTTCTAATAATCTTTTTCTGGCAATATTATGAGTTTCTTGCATGTTTCTTTTATTGTTATGTAGAGGATAAATCTATTTGATTGTTTGAGAAAAGCGATTTCAGTAACATTCTTGTTTTGTTTCCGCAGACTAGATAAATGCCCAAAATGTCGACGAAACTCTAAAGCAATTCCTTTTGATAACTTAAGATCTTTGGATACAAAATTTGTNAATTCCTTTTGATAACTTGAGATCTTTGGATACAAAATTTGCCAGATGATAGTCTGAGGGTGCATTCAACACCTTTCCATGGGTTTCTACTATATTTTTAGGAAGATTAGAATAATGGCTGATATTGTTCAATACGTATTGACACGGAGATTCTGTGATGGTTTCATTAATATTGGAAAATGAAGATGATTTTGGATATTCTGGAGTTAGTGAATGTTCTGAATTTTCCGGAGTTAATGAGTGTTCGGAATATTCTGGATTTCGTATATGTTCTGGATTTTCTGAATTCATCGATTCGGTTTTTGATTTACTTAGCCTTCGAAGAGACTGGTGCCGAAAAAAAATTATTTTTATTTTTATCATAAAAGTTACTAAGTACGCAAACAATAGTTAAATAACTCATCAGAAACTCCAGAATCTCAAGAAAAGCATTGAACTCAAAATACAGAAAATCTTCAAAAATCAAACAACATCAAGAAAATCAAATCAAAAATAAGATAAAATAATAATAATAAACAACAAATAAAACTTGTCTGTTGTGTAGGGATTAACAAAGATGTTAAATAACATGTCACAATGAATGCGTTTATATATGTTTATATGTTTTATCTTAGATGTACTGCAGTACGATAACACTCCGTGTATTTTTTTTATTCTCGCGCTGTTCGTCAATCCAGTGACACTTTTTATTTGTACTCTTTTTTTATGTACGTATAAAATCATTTTTCATTATTAAAAAGTATTAATTATTATAAATTTTAATTGTAGTATTTTGTAATAAATATAAACACCAAAACACTACAGTTGTATTTAATACAATTAACGGTTAGTAATTTTTACTGTTATTTCCTTCACTACCAACGTATATACTTTCGCCGCTGCCCGAACTCATAAATATATATATATATTTTACAAAAATATTAAAAAATTCACTAAAAACCCACAAGTCAAGTTTCTCCGTGTGACCAGTTTCGGAGCGTAGACCATCAATAAAGAAACATCAATCCAACCCAACCAAACTATCAACACATCATGTTTATGATGGTGAATGTCTTATTACTGTAAGTTTTATTTTGTAATTTAATTTATTTAAAAAAAAAATAATAATAATAATACATTTATATATATAGATAATATTTTTCGTTTTTAAGTGTATTCATTTATACGTACATATATATATACAGGGTGATTTTTTTATCATAACCCACTCAATTACTTGCAGAATAATAATAATTTAAACATTTTTTTTTTTCATTATCTTTAGTTACACATTATTCTTGAATTTTTAACTATGTAATACTTTTTAAGTTCATCCCTTATGCCTTGGAAGGGGTGTTGTGTCACCACCACTTTATTAAATATTTATCTTTGCGAATATACATGTTTATAATTGATAGGGACATCCGCATACGGATGTTCCCTTGATTTCTTTGTATGACTATTTTGCAGCAATAGTCAGTCTAGTGTCTAGCGTCTACCATTATAGGACTAATATTATAATTGTAAAGCATATTCTTATTTTGAAATGTTATTATGAAAGTTTACTTTATATATATATACACATTTATATTAATTGTTATATTTCTCTTGTAACGTAATATTTTTTGTATAATACAATTTACTATTTATAACCAGTATTTCTATCGAGAGTGTTAAATTTATTTCTTTATAAATAATCACTATTTCCTATATACATCTTGGAGGACTCTGTGCGGATAGCTCAATAGGGAATCCAGACGGTAACCCGAACAACAAATAAATATTAAAATTTCCTCAGGCGAGCCTTACAGGTCCGCCACAGGGGGTCAACTTTGTTTTTTTAAATGGTAACACATATTTTGAATTTAATAAAATGTTTGAGTTTTTAATTTAATAGTAAATGGCATTTGAATTTTTAATATAACTTTATTAGCTTATTAGATATAAACATTTAAAGTTTCAAAATTTTGAGTTAATATACATGTATAATACACATGGGATTGTAAATACAGGTAGCTAATTGGATTTTTATGACATTGCTGTCTCATTCACGGATTGTTTATTATCAATTATGATTATCAATAGATATACTTTCTGTATTGTCAGTTAGTGTATTTATAAACTCATAACAATGTGCCTTACTACAATTGATAATAACAATGCTGTGTACCTGCTAATATCGATGTTATGTTAAATTTATCTAAATTTGACTGCAATTTTATTGCATCTTTTGGTGATTTAATAACTGAAAATAATTTCACATCATCAGCAAATAATAGAATATTAACTGAGCTATCAAAAATAGATGGTAAATCATTTATAAATAGTATGAATAAGAGGGGACCTAAGTGCGACCCTTGTGGTTCACCAGAAGTAACCAAAAATTCATTAGAAATAAAACTATTAATTTTAACCACCTGGGTACGAGAACATAGGTAAGATTTTAACCAATTAAAAAATGTACCATGAATACCAACACAAGATAATTTATGTAATAGAATATTGTGGTTTACTTTATCAAACGCTTTCTGAAAGTCTGTATAAATAGTGTCCAATTGAACACGTTGATTTAAAGCCGAAAGGATTTTCTCCTGAAAAAGTAGAATATTTGTAGAAACTGACATTTTGGGTCTGAAACCATGTTGGTTATTAGAAATGAGGGGAGTCATAATTAAAGACAATTTTTTTGTAATTAGTGCTTCAAACATTTTCGGAATTATGGACATTTTGGAAATCGGCCTATAACTTGTAACATTATGTTTATCTCCAGGTTTATATACTGGTGTTACAAATGACCTTTTCCAAATGTTAGGGAAATAACCCAAACTTAATGATTTATTAAAAATCATATGAAGCGGACGAGCAAGAACCGAGCTACAATTTTTTTAAAATATAGGTGAAATACCATCAGGTCCAGTACCAGCATGAGCATTGAAAGAATTTAAATAATCAACAATTTCATTCAGATAGATAGTCCAGGAGTGTAAATTCAAATAATTATCAGATGAAACTTTTCGTTTTAAATACGAATTCGATAAAATATGTGTTTTTTATTTTATTAATATTGATTTAAATTTGACTATTATTTATTTTTTTTAATTTTCTCTTAGTGTTGAAAATCTTAACTTATTACATAACAATTTCTCGCTACCGATTTGTCCACTGTCAAGATTTTTATATTATTTGGTGCTCTTGAAGAAAAGGATTTAAGAATAAGTAAAAGTAAGACAGAGTATATAGGGTACGAGTTTGACAAAGGAGAACACAAGGTAGGTGGAATGAGGAGATCAGTGACAATAGGCGAGGACGTGATTGGAGAGATGGAGAGTTTTAAGTATTTTGGATCAGTTGTACAAATGTTTGAGCAAGTTGCACAACACTAAGCAGTCAGCTGATGGCCGGCTTATCTCCTCGTCCGAGACGGGTATTATGTAGAATGCTCTAAAGGCTTACGGCGGGGGTAAACCGGTCCGTGTGTATAGCTGCCCAACGCAGTGGACAACACTGGACGTGCATGTTTTTTATTCTTATTGCTTGATAGTATTGTATTGGATACGCTGTTGTTGAGATACGCACGGCCTTTTTTTTCGTTTGCGTACGATGACAAATATCCAGTGGGATTTTGTGTTGATTTGTCGCCAAATATACCACGTTGGTTCCTGTTTGTGCTGTACTCGGGCCATCGTCCTTTTTTTTTATTATTGTTGAAGATCGTCGGTCTTCCATTACCTGAACCGGTGGCAAATGTCGGAGAATCCGTGGATGGACTAGGCTTGGATATTGTCTTCGTATTTGTATGTAAATTTATAGTTAATTTTTTTTTCTTTTGTTAAAAATATTAGTATTCTTTGGCGGACGTCCAGATTTAATTATTGTAATGAAACTGTAATATTAAAAAACCATTGTAATTGTATGAATGGTAACCTCTTTTTTTTTATGTTTATTTTTTTCCTTTTATTTTCCCCTATTAATGATTACCAACAATTATTGTGATTTGGTGTGTCATTATTAGTCATACGGACCAACCGTCTATTAGGAGTCCGGTGGCAAACAACAAAAGAGCGGTGGTATTGACGAGGATGTAAGACACAGAATTAAATGCGGGTAGTTGAAGTGGAGAGAAGCGTCTGGCGTCTTATGCGATAAAAGAATTCCAATGAGGCTGAAAAGTAAATTCTACAAGACTGTAGTGAGACCACTACAGATGTATGGTTCAGAGTGTTGGGCGGTCTATAAGAAAGTAGTATAAAAAATGAGTGTATCAGAGATGAGAATGCTTAGATGGATGAGTGGAGTGACTAGAGAAGATAGAGTAAGGAACGGGCATATAAGAGAGAGTATAGGTGTAGCGTCAATCGTGGATAAGATGAGAGAAAATAGACTTGGGTGGTTTGGTCATGTTGTGAGGAGAGAAGAATCAGAAGCTGTAAGAACAGTTATAGAAATGAATGTTGAAGGAAGAAGAGGTAGAGGAAGACCAAAAAAGAGATGGAGGGATGCTATTGAATGCGATTTGAGGACAGCTGATGTGAGCGTAGAAGACGTGGGAGATCGTGTCAAATGGAAGCTTAAGATAAGGGTGGCCAACCCCAAGTATGCTGAGTGATGTTTCGGTTTTGTTTGTTTTTTCTACTATTATTATTCTAATGTTAATATATTGATATATTGAATATTTATTACTTTGTATATATATATGTATAATAAAGATACTGTTTGGAATTGAAATTATACGATTGTCAAGTAAAACCCCCCGATCCGTCATTTATGTTAAGATAATTAACTTAACGTTAAAAGTATAAAGTCGTGAAATAATTTACTCTGGGAATTGTAAAGTTTCATTTCAATATATTTTTACATTTTGGTAAGCAGGGCGTGGTGGGTTTTCTTGCCATTGTTTGCGCCTGATGGGCCCGCTCAGACAAAAATAGGTGACATGATGCAATCACATGATATAAGTGGTAGAAGTAGTATCGGTCGTAGTTATCTTGTTGCTAATGTTTAGTTTATTGCCCGTGCGGTGTTTTATTGATAGTTATCGATAGTATAGATAAGTAATATTGTGGTACATTACTGTTGATTTCACGCTATTTATTACTTAGTGTTTTGTGTTGTATGTTTATATTTCAGGCTAGAATTTAAAACATTAATTATTTGGTAGAATTCTTTTATTTGATATATATATATATACTAGCTGTCCCGGCAAACGTTGTTTTGCCGTTTAAATTGTTTTATACATAAATAGCTGACCCGGCCACGTTTGGGTGTGGCTTGATTAATATAATATATTATTATATAATATTATATTAATATATTATTTTCAAATATGTAGCATAACCATGCAAATACTTATAAAATTTTTGAATCTGAGTTATCGGAGATAATCATTGAACACAATTTTTCAATGATGAACGACCAAAAAAATGTTTGTTGATATTATTGTTTATTTAACTGAAACTCGAACATTTTTAAAAAATGAATTAGTATTAAAGGTTGTTTTTTTTTTCCAAACAGTTATATAGATAATAATATTTAATTGAGTACTATTTGGTGTACAATATTTTTAGTTAATTTGTTTTTAGTTAATATAAACAAATTTGACGGTTTACCAACCCGTGAACATGCAACATAAAGTTGACCGTGGGAGAAGCATGGATTTTCTAAATCTAAACCGCAAACGGACATTGTCTGGCCTTGAGACTTGTTAATGGTTATTGCGTATGCTAATCGAACAGGAAATTGAAGCCTTTTGAATGGTAATGTGGTATCTGACGGAATCATTGGGATACGTGGCAATAGAACAATTTCCCCTTTAAATCTTCCTGTTAAAATGGTTGCTTCAATAATATTTCCGGTAATTTTTTTGATGACCAAACGTGTACCATTGCATAGTCTGGGTGGATTCAAATTACGTAATAAAATAATCGGTGATCCAATTTTTAACTGTAGATTGTGTGGTGGCATTCCTGGTATATCCAGAGAGTTTAAAAATTCTGTTGGGTATTGTACAGCTTCGTCTTCATCAACAACACTATCGATCGACTTAAACGATACCATATCACCCGGTATCAACTGCTGTATGTGGAAGTTAATTTCATCGACATCGACATTTCTTGCGGCTAAGATTGCACGCTCACTAAGCCAATCGTGGTTTGTGTAATTATTCAGTATAGCCGGGAAAACCTTTTCGATCAATTCTGATTTTGTCTCGACAAATGTGCAGAAGTTATCTGGCAATTTAATGCATTGTGTATTTGGATGCAATGTTATTCTACCATTGCCAATGTCCAGCAATTGCTCAGAAAATATTTGTGCTGATGAGTCGTTTTGCAATTGCACACGCATGTTAATGGTCAATCGAACTGTTTCGACATTTTGCCATAAAAATGACTGTTTTAAACACGCATTAATTTCATCGGCAAAAGTAGAGCGTGGAATAACTGGCAATGTCTGTCGGAAATCACCAGACAATAGTAAAACAGCACCACCGAATAGTTTGTCATTGCCATTAAAATCTTGTAAAGTTCTATGCAATGCTTCCAATGCATGTTTGTGGGCCATTGTACATTCATCCCAAATAATTATCGAACTGTTTCGCATTACTGTAGCCATTCCGCTTATTTTTTTTATGTTACATATTGCATATGGTTTATTATGAATGTCTAATGGCAGCTTGAGTGCTGAATGTGCCGTTCGCCCACCATCTAACAGAGTGGCCGCAATGCCCGACGTTGCAATTGCTAGAGCAATTTTTCCTTGCGATCGTATCTTTGCTAAGATAATAGATATTAAAAATGTCTTACCAGTTCCACCTGGTGCATCTAAGAAAAAGAAGCCACCTTGTTTAGCATCAACAGCCATCATAATTTGAGTATAAATATTTTTTTGTTGAGCTGTCATTAGAGGTTCATTATTTGTAACAAATGCAGCTAATTCAACGTTATTATATTGTTTTTCTCGCAGAACATCAGTGTTAACCAAGTCGATGGCCGGGCGATTAGGCGACGGCAAACCATAATGAGCAAGTGGTAAATTAGAAATTAGAATACATGAATCCTCAATCAACATTAATGCTTCGTTATACATTTCTGGCGTGTAATCTAGATCTTGATTTTGAGTTGTCTGTCTTATTCGGTGCAGAATATCTTCAGTCATATAGTTTTTGTATTTTTCCCATAAAGTCGATGATCGTGTTGGATAACATGTTGTCAAAATAATTACAAACAGTTGACGAATGGTATTTGGCGTGGATACTAACGCTGCGTCAGCAAGCGTGAGATCCCAATGATTGTCGTCTTCCAGCAATTTCAATACGCGACATGTATCTTGATATGAATTAAACACTCGACCGTTAACGGTGCGCAAAAATTCAAAAGATGTGGGTCCTGGAACATTGATTAACAACAAACGTAAAAAGAAACATTCACGTTGTTTTGGATGTACTGTGTAAAGTCGTCCTAATGTCTTGGCTTTTAATACACCGGGGATTGTTGGATGTGGTTCACCTTGCTTACGTGGCTCCCATTTTTTGCCTGATGTGTTCCATGTAAAATAACGTGGAACTTCTGTATACAATAGTGTGCGTGCGAACTGGCCAAAAACATCGGTTTTTTGACACAATGTGAAAAATTCAGTAAGTGTTGTTTTCGGTGGCTGAAGTGCTCGTTGGAAAATATTTTCTTTAGTGAAATATACACGTTGTCCGTTTTCAAGATGTACAGCAAGATGCTGCACAGCTGGCTCTTTATCGTGTACAGGAAAACTAAATATGCGCCAGATAGCTTCATTACTACTGATATATCTACCCATTTGGTACTGTGTTATTTCATCATTTTTATTTACATTTTGAACTTCGAATACTGCCAAATCATTGCCTTTGTTAACGTATTTGCAAATGTATTTTATAGACTTCACAGAACTACAAAACTCAACATTTATATGAGCTTTGTATGTTTTTGAAAGTAGTGGTGAGTATGGTACCACCCATTGATTATCGATTTCAACTTCGATAGCATTTGACATTCGCATCGTGAATGTGTGGCCACCATTCTCAGCGTTTCTACGTCGATACAATGGATAACCGTCAATATCTGTAATAGTATCATTAATACATTGTTTTGGGAATTTTTTTTTACATTTTCCATCCTCCATGCATGGAGATATCATGTTGAAAACACCACAGGGTCCGTGAATCATGTGACTGGTAACAATATGAAATAATTCCTGATCGATTGATGGATCTGGAATTTCGGCAGAAATTATTTGATCAATTTCTTCTGGATGGATTTTATCTTCAAGCCAAATCAGGATATGTGCATGGGGCAAACCGCGCTTTTGCCATTCGACTGAATACATCCAGCAACGTACTTCACCAAAAACCGAATATTTCACAATGAAATTCATCAATGATTTTAATTTTTGTTTGAACACGCGCGCAGTAATATCATGACGATGTGTCGATTGTTGGCCTGGTAATAGCAGATTTTTTATTTCTTCCCATTTCGGATTACATGTAAATGTAATAAATAAATCTGGACGGCCGTAATGACGTACATAAGTCATTGCATCTTGTGTATATTCCTGCATGTGCCGTGGACTACCAATAAAACTCGAGGGTAAAATAAATGCATTACCTATATCGTTTATATTTATTTGTTCATCGACATGTCCATTAATAGCATCTCGTAAGTGGATGTATTCTTCTGATCTTAATTTAGCCTGATTGAATCGAATATATCGCAAACGTTCACTTTCAATCTTTGCGTACATATCGACAACATATTGGTGGAATAGCTGGCGATATCGAAGAATATAATTATCCTGATTACGTCTTATCATCAATCGATGGGCATAGTAGTTCATTGAACTAACTTTTTTGTTTGTTTCACGACCTAAAAATTCATAATAAATTAAGCATTAATAATTAAAAATTAAAAAAAAAGTGTGAACATTTTTAATTGATTTTAAGTAAATTTATATGGAATTAATTGAAAAAAAAAATTTAAAAATACAAAATTAATTTTTCTAATAAATATATTTTAGTGAAATTAATTTAATGAAAAATAAAAATGTGAAAAATTAGAAATGAATTTCAATTTTATATAAAAAAAATTAATATAATCAAAAATTGAAATATTAATACCATAAAATAAAAATAAAAAATAGGCAAAAAATATTTAATTTGATATTTTACCAGTAGTTGAATTACGCTGTTTAATATTAATGTGATATTCATCCTGTCCTGCCCAAAATATCAGCGGATATTGTAGTGCATCGTAGGAACGGTGAGTGTCTGAAATTATGCTTATGGTGTTGTCTCGACGTGTAATTTTGATGGCTCGGCTGTCAGCTGGATCACCGGCCATAATAACTGCTACTTCGTCTACGGTGGGCGCGTTGAACCTTCCAGCATGCTCTCCTGATGGTACTCTATCAGCCTTAATAACAATTTGATAGTTGTCGTTTAATAATTGTGGCGATACACGTTTGAACAACTGAATAAGTTGGTTTCGATTTTCTAAAAAAATTTCCAATGATTCCACAATTGCTCTCTCATCTGCTCGTTCAATAAAATTATGAACACAGCGGGTTGATACGCGTTCTTCACAATTTCCCATAAAATAGATTTGCAGAAACTTCGGTTCAGTATCAGGCATCGGCATCAATGACCCAATTTGATGATAAACCTGACCTTGTATCTTAAATGTAGATTCGAAGTAATTACCATCGGATGTGAGATCACAAATTTTTGTTGCCCTAAAAGACGTCATTTGGAAGCAAGAATTAAACTTACGAATCTTGCTCAAAAATAATTTTGAATCATCAGATTGGCCAGCAAGAAGTGATTGTAAAGGTTCCAGCGGAGATGGAAGCGGCTCCAGTACAACTTTTCCTGATGCGCAACACAGTCCAGGTGTTTCATTGGGGAATTTCAACGCCTGACAATATTGGCATACTTTGTTCATTTCACCGATGGAAATTAAAGAATGCGCAGAGTAATTAATATCCGGTGCATATTCAAAGGCAAGACGAACAAATGATCCAAGTTGTAATTCGCGACTGGTTCGCTGTCTTTCATGTTCTTCATGTTGCTGTGCTGACCGAAAACTTCTTTTTGCACGTTTGCGCCGTGCCTCTCTACTACTCGCGGAAAGGTTCGATTTTTTCGGTGGCATTTTACTACAAAAATATTAAATAAATAAATTTCGAACCGGTTACGATGAAAAAATAACATAAAATTATTATAATAATACTTATAATACTACTATTATAAGTATTATTTGAACTATGATAATTTTTTTTTAAAATAAATATAAATATGTTCAATTAATAATTAAATACATACAAAAGATAAAAAGAAATAAAGTCGAACTTACTTAATCAATATCCAAATCAATTTGCGCGATGTTATTCAGTAATATATACGCAAAATTTACAAAAAAATTAACGTGTCTTAGCAGAGATCACAAATTATTACAAACACAAAATATATATCGTTATAATTATGTTGCGCCGTTTTATAGTGTGTAGTGGGTCTAGAATATTCTTTTTATGGCCGATCGAGAATATTCGTGCATATATGTATTTTGGTTGCCTATCCGTCGCGAAGATTCTTGATCGTTCTATTGTCATTACAATTACAATTATTGAAAGAAAATACACGTGGACAGGCGCTATCTATTGGACACTTACATAACTTTAATACCGTTTCATAACGCCATCTATGAGAAAATAATTATTTATATTTATTTATTTTATATTATAAAAAATAAATAAGGCCATCAATCAAAATAAAAACTATCCTATGTTCTAAGTTAGACCTAATCGCACATTTATGCCAAATTTCATAAAATTCGGTTCAGTAGTTTCGGCGTCCATCGCGGACAAAAATCTGACATTAGATTTTATATATATAAGATATATATGGTTGTTGGGCTTCTTTAGTATTTATTGCTAAGTGCATAAGATTTTGTGTTATTATTATTACGCAAGTATTATTTAACTTTGCGTTGTTATTATTTAGTTATTAAGATTAGTTGCGCCGGTTGATTGTGCGGTATTACGTACTTATTTGTTTTTCTTTAATTTTGTTTGCGCTCCGTTATACAGATTTAAATTTATTAATTGCAATTATTTAGTTTTTTTTATTGCGTGGATTATATATTGTAAATTTCTGTGTCACAATAACTGTTGTTAATATATAATAATTAATTTACGTTATTTGGCGACGTGAGATTATAAATAACGTTAATTGCATTATGGATAGCTGATGGCTGGGTGCTGTTTCGGTTTTGTTTGTTTTTTCTACTATTATTATTCTAATGTTAATATATTGATATATTGAATATTTATTACTTTGTATATATATATATATATATGTATAATAAAGTTACTGTTTGGAATTGAAATTATACGATTGTCAAGTAAAACCCCCCGATCCGTCATTTATGTTAAGATAAGTAACTTAACGTTAAAAGTATAAAGTCGTGAAATAATTTACTCTGGGAATTGTAAAGTTTCATTTCAATATATTTTTACATTATCAAATAATAATATTTGTCATTTTTAACTTTAAACACGGTTATTACACTAAGCTCAAGAATATGGTTAGTTGTAATAGAACCAAACACAAAAATTATCAGAGAAATGTGAAACGACCATAGATGCTCGTTACTATACATGGATAGGACATTGATGCTTTATCATAGAAGAATATGGTGATAGTAAATTGAGGCTATTTGTTTGCATTATTACAGGATAAGATTTTACTTTTTATTATTCAATGGTTAGTAATAAAAAATTAGTATGAGTTACGTAATTTATAATAATGTAAAAGTTAAAATTTATAACTTATTAAAAAATTAAAAAATAGTATCTTATGCGCTTATGGCAATTAAAATATAAACAAACGATCTCATATTCTTATCAGTTCAGGACTGCGAAAACACAAGTGCCTCAATAATGAATATCCTATCCATGTTTATAAGCTCCATGGAAATGACAACTTCAAATTGATAAGATTATATCATCAAAAATAAATTGGAATGAGTAAGTAAAATTATTCCTTTATTTTTTAAACGTCTAGTTTTATTGTTAAACCTTTAAACAGATAATTATTGAAATGTTTAAAAAAATTATTTGTTTGTTCCATTTTTTAATCGTTGTATCTGCTCTGACCAATTTAGTTAGTATTGATTATTTTTAAAATTCATTTTCTATCTATGATTTTTAATTTATTTTGTACGTCTATGATCGTAGGAATCTAGCTATGATTCCATAACTGATATTTATTTGGAGCATGAGTTAATTCCTGGGGCAGGATTTTCAAACTATAGTTCTTCACCAGTAAACTTGGAAACAAGAAGTGATTTTACTATTGAGTCAACAATTAGCAAATATGATTTTGAATTAATTAAAGTATTATTATTATATATACTTATATAGAAAACGTTAATATATAACCTTAAAATTTCAAACATATAACATTAAACCATACAGTTTTACTATTTATTTTATTATAAATTTAGATGACAATTTATTTTATTAATTTTTTTTTTTAGAAATTAGCCAACGACAATCATATGTATAAATTAAAGGTGACTGTAAGATACTTGTCTGGTCTCAAAACAAGTTTTTTAACTTTTACTAGAGCATGTCATATTTTAGGACATAAAACAATTTATATTCTCACACTACATTTGGATCATTTAGATTTACCTTTTGGTGCTAATTTAGCTACAAAATCTGATAAATATGAGGACACTGATGATAGAGATGAATACAAGTTATCAACGACTGTGTTTTTTAGAAGACCTGACTCTAGCCCTATGTATGTTAATTTAATAATTTAATTATTTATTAAATTTAGATTATTATAGATACAGATATTAAATTTACATATTTTACAAAGAAAAAATCTTAAATAATAAATACAAAATAAAAAATGTACACAACTAAATTTTTAAAAAACAATGCTTACATGTTTAATTTTTCAATTATAAATATTTTGATTTTTATGTCCCAGCCTATTTTTAAAAATTGTGTAACATTTAATATACTGAATATATTTTGTTACTTTCTTATAAAAACAATTTTGCAACTTTGAACTATATTAAAAGCATGTTTTTTATTATTTATTTCTAATAATTAATTTAATTCTTACCAAAACAATGCTCTAAGTTAGATTGCTTTGGCTTGTAACCCTGTAAAAGCAGAGAACATACAAAAGTATTCTCTTTAGGTCAAATTAAAAATAATTAATCAGAAAATGAGGCTTTGATGAATCTGAAAATGCTTTTCATGACATGTACGCCAGTTCCTCGTAGAGTGATCCGCTTAAATGTGTTAATTATGACAATAATTTGAATACTTATTAACCTGAACCTATTTAACCCTGAAGGATTAAAAATAAATTATTTAACTACATATTATTGTAGAGATTTTTAGATCAACAAACAATTTCTTCCTTTATAAAAATTTAAAACTTAAATATTTTCTGAAAAACTAATAATAGAGTACATTCCATCCTTACACAAACATAAATACTAATATATTATATATTTGATTGTTTTTCAGTCCAGATACTACTACATATATTCAAAAGATTGAACGAGAACGCGAGGCAAGAGAAAAAGGAAAATCTAGTAACAACAAATCAATGCTAGGGAAATATGTGAGTTTGTTTTCTATATATATATATTTTTTTAAATAGCATTATATAATATATTTATAATTATATATTTCTATGAAAAAATATTTTTCAAAATTTGCTATTTAATATTTTAGCTTCGATGCGAAGCTGAGAAGGTATTGGTTTTACTATGATGTGTTTATTTATTTTTTTTTTTGTGTCTGTTACCACTTTTTCTCAGCTCTCACCGAACAGATTTCTTTCAACGATACGTCAAAAGATCACAAATTGTATCTAGTCGAAGACATTACCCTCAAAAATTGAAAAAAATTCCCTCGTTCCCCGTAAACGGGGGAAATCCTCCAAAAAAATTACAAATTTAAAAACGCTAATTTTCAAAATTTTTTCAATTTTTTTTACTTAAAAGTTCCATAACATTTTCAAAAATGAACATATCAATATAATGATCAGTACAATTTTTTCATGAGGAGTAGTATTTATATACATCTTTCATTTGACATACTGTTTTTTTAAATCATATACGAGGGGGTTCAAATCTAAAAAAATGCATGTAGAAAGTAGAACTTTTTCAACTTAACTTTTGAAAGTGTTCCGGAAAGTCTGACACTTTTATATATATCTTAAATTAAAGCTAATGTAATATACATTATTATGCAAAAAAAAAATTTCGGACTTTATTTTATCTTCATGGTGAAAACAGACATCAAAGTTTATAAAAAAAAATACGATTTTTGTAAAAAAAAATTTTTTTTTATTTTTTTAACTTTATAATGCTATAACATTTTAAAAAATGTATGGATCAATATAATTTTTTTATGAGAAATAATATTTTTTAATAATCCCTTACATATATCTTTATCTGAATCAGGATATTAATAAAGAACTAGCAGATCATGTTGCTTTTGGTATAATCCACCAATTTTTTAAAATTATACACTATCTAAAGATTTGCATCGAAGCGTTTTTTTTTATAGTGATTTTAATCACTGTCAGATATCATAATACTTATCCAACTATGTCACCACTGTGCCGCGATCCCCCTGTTCTGGGTTTTTTTTGTAGCATTATAGCTGTTATAAACAATTTTGTAGACTTAATTGAACAGTCTAGTATTTATCTAAGATTATGTCAATCTAGCAATCTACATATTTTTTAATGAATTTTTGCACAAATTTGCCCACTTATTTCTAGTCGCAAAATTTTTTAAGCAAAAAAAAATCTTTACTTTGCACCTAAATTACAAACTAACTTAAATAGATAAAATTGCCAAATATATTAATTTAAGTAGCTGTATTATGGAGAGTTCTTCCCTCTTAACCACCTCAGTTCTGGTTCAAGATTATATTATTAAATAACTTAAGTTGTGATTTTTTTTTTAAAAAAATTTTTGTAGTGCTATTTTTTTATTATAAATCAAAAAAAGGTCATGGTTAAGTATGGTTTTTGCATTTTTTTTTTCTTTATTGATTTCAATTCTACTCCATTTGCTATACTCTATATTTTAATACTTTAACAATTAAATAATATTATAATTTATATTATTGTGATTTTAAACTTGGTCCAGTACATTTATGTAGATCTTATTATATCTTATATTAAGAATATCATAATTTGGATTATTTGAGAATTCATCATTCGTTTTTGTCAGATGATCTAACTAGTAAAAAGTATAAATAAATCAATTAAATATGAAACTTGAATAATTCACTTTGTTATATTAAATATTACACTAAATGAATTGTCCAATTTGTTTTATATTTGCTATATGCCCATTCAATGTATTAAAATGCTTGTAACTCATTAAGTTGTTATCGAATCATCAAAGTTAACCCGGCCGCTGGTAATTGACGGGTGGTTATAGAAAGTGTACCACAAATTGTGTAAAAAAAAGAGGTACGGTACAGTAATAGAACCTGCGACCCAAGACGATTACTAGACCACCTTGCACTTATAATTCAGATACAAACCAAACCAATACACTTTCATTTAGGTTGATACTTAATGTGCTACTAAGGGAAACAAAAAATCAGAAATTGATTTATATTTTTCTTTTATTAGAGATAAATTATAAAAAGTTTGCTTTTATACATAGTTCAAAACTATAAAAATTATTTAAAAAAAGGAACTTAACATATTCACTAAGCAAAGGCTAGAGGTGTGGTGATCAGCTCTTGAAGAAAAGGGTTTAAGAATAGGTGTAGTGTCAATCATAGAAAAGATGAGAGAAAATGGACTTAGAAGGTTTGGTCATGTTATGAAAAGAGAAGAATCTGAAGCTGTAAGAACAGTTATAGAAATCAATGTTGAAGGAAGAAGAGGTAGAGGAAGACCAAAAAAGAGATGGAGGGATGTTATTGAATGCGATATGAGAACAGCTGATGTGAGCGTTGAGGATGTGGGAGATCATGTTTAGTAGAAGTTTAGGATAAGAGTGATTACCCCAAGTAGTTGATATTAAAGCGAGGAAATAGAAGAAAAAAAACTTAATTAAAATATTCAATAGATCAAAAGTTAGATTTGTTAAAAAAAAGTGATGATAAATTCATTATATGCCACTTGATTTATTGTAAAATAATAACAATAAAAAAAAAAAATTTGGATTTTCTTTAGTTGCATAAATTTTTATACCTAGGCTGATCAAAAAGTACAGTTGGAAATAACTAGTGATAAAAATAGCAGGAACCACACCTCACCCCTAGTTATTACTTTAATTGTTAATAACTACTGAAATTCTAGTTCAAATGTTGTTATCGACCAGTTATTTTCTTAATTAGATTATTTTATATTTTATAAGAGTTAAATATGTATGTTACCATAAAAAAAAAAATTAACCCCCCTTTAAATTATAAGGGATTAGTTGAATTCAACTAATAATTAAGATTATTTATAATCAGATTCAATTCATGATTGATTTTCAGAGAGTTTGTAATATATAAATTTTGTACTTTTGTTATATTATATAGGTATATTTAAAACAACTAAAATCAGCTCTGTATATGGGCCTTACCTCAACAATACAAAATTTTAATTTTAAAAAGTTTAACTGTTAGATTTTCAAAAAAAAAAAAAAAATTAAATTAAGCATTATTTTTATAAAATTACTAAAATTTATTATTGATGAACAATAAACCTTATTACAGTGGATGTATATACTACCATTGGTCATATTCATGATGATTGCTGGCGCATCAAATCCTGAAGGAGCAAGACAGTAAAACCAAAACAATGTACTTGAAATTTATTTTGATTAAATGTACATTAAAAAAACTATAATTTGTATAAATAATAAACGTATAATTAAATTATTATGTGATATACTAATAATATAATAATAGTATACAAACTAAATTTGTTTGTTTATGTATATTAAATCATGTTATAATTTTTTTAATTTTATAACCTGACCTTTCTTTATTTTGAAACACACATTTTCCACCTATCCACGTAGATAAAATATTTAAATTACTTTCTATGAAAACAAAATCTGCATCAGCTCCAAAGTTAAGTGTTCCTTTGATATGTTCAATGCCTAATACCTGTGCTGGGTGAAGAGTTACTGTTTCAATTGCTTCAGGTAAACTACAATCTGTTTAACAATATAATAATTATACCAAACTTCATAATAATATATGAACTTCAACAAACTTTCTTTAAAAATTGGATTGTAAGTGTTTTATAAATGAGGTGCTTAGAATCCAAAGGGATAAATTTAATTTTTTGAAAACAGAGTTCATAGGTTTTGTTTTCCATTTAACGCTGTGTAAAAAAATATATTTTTCATGATTTTTATGTTTCTTTTTTACAATTTTTTATTACTAAATAAAACAACTAACTTTCAATCAGATTGCACACCTAACTCAATTTTTTAAAAATTTTACATAAATCCCTTTTATTATAAGTGCCTCAAATATAATATGCACAAAATAGTTAAAAACTATTATCTTGCAATTCAATAACCACTATTTAATTTTAAAATAGCACTATAATTATACTTCAAAATTTTGAATTTGCTTCTACTCTTATGGCAATAAAATTCTTATTTATTGCATTTTTCTTTTTATATATTAACTATTTCAAGTTTTTAGCTCTGAATTCACCTGTTGCTTTTATAAAGTTCCGTAAACATTCATTTAAAGATGTCATGCTTCCACATAATGTTTTTGTATTGAAAATATAAGCTTTTGAATCTTTAACTTCAATTTGTTTATCTCCTAAATGATGAATTCCATTTGACAATCCTGACACTGATAGTGCATCTGTTACTAATACAAGACCTTTTGGATTTATCTTGTGAGCAATTTTTAATGCAGTATAATGTGTGTGAATATCATCCGCTATAATACCAAAATAAATTGTATTTTTTTCATTTGGAGAACATGCCATTAGTCCTATTAACCCTGGGTCTCTATGATGAAACTGAAAATATATAAATAAGTTTGTGAGATTGTTCTTAATATTTAATTTTTTTTAATGTTTTACGTACAGGAAGCATTGCATTGAACAAATGAGTTACGAATTTTGCTCCATTTTTAATTGCTTCTCTACCTGTAGTAAAATCAGCTGATGTATGTCCCATTGATACCACTATACCTTTCTGAGAAAGTTTTTTTATTACTTCCATAGAACCATCTAATTCTGGAGCTAATGTAACTATGCTTATATTTTCTAAGTCGCCAAATGTATCAAATAAATTGGTTTGATTTAACGTTTTTATATTAGATATATTATGAGCCCCAGGTTTCTGAGTACTTATAAAAGGCCCTTCGACATGAGCACCTAAAATTGCTGCTCCTAATGAACTTCCTTGGCATCTTTTTAATTTAGGTAAAGTCTATAATATTTAAATTTAATCAGGCAATAAATATGTTTTGTAAACGTTAAATGGAAAATTTCTTTTTATTAAATTTTACTTTATGATAATTAGTAGCTGTAGTCGTAACTATAGTGGGACAAAATCCAGTAATACCATATTGTAATAATGCTTTTCGAACAATATCAAGCCCTTCTCCACAATTGTGAGTGAAATCAATTCCAAAAGCTCCTGAAAGCAGTATATAGTTTTGTAAAACTTTACAAACATGTTTAAAAGTACGAGAACATTGAGAATATAAAGGTAAAGACGCAAGACTACCAACGGTTACAAAGAATTTGTTAATGACTGTTTAACCTAATTGTCATATATAATTTCTAACGACCAAAACATTGCAATTTGAGGGTAAATATTAAAAAAAATGTAAGCTGTAAAAGGATTTTTTATGATAAGTCATTTTACCACGCCATTATAAAATAATAGAATTGTTATACATAACAAAAAGTTTGGTAAGTTAGTATGTTTTTTACTATTCATAATATGTCTATTTTTAGTCATATTCGTGATATCTCTAATTAATACATTACGTCTTATCTTGATGATGAAAAAAGTTCAGTTCACCAATCAGTTATGATTTTAATAATATTAATATTAGTTACCTTTTATGTATTAGGCATATTGCAAGAATCGTATTTAATTTACAAATTTCGGGTGTTTGTATTTGATAATACAGCTTCAAATACTGGAGATTAAATTATGCATGTGTTGTTTTAGAATTAAAGTTAAACAAAAACATTCTGTTTATACATGTCGTCAACACATATTAGAAATTATTTTACAATCTGTTTTTTTTTAATGTACAAATTACTGTGATATCTAGTCCTAACATTCTTTTATTTAAAAAGTTTAAACTTAATAGAAAAAAATGTGGCCTTGGGAAAACATCAAATATATTCAATATTTTCTGAATTTAAACTAAAAAACATCGTAGATGAAATTATATCTTTTATTGTTTAGAAAAACTTAATAGTAATCTTCATAGAAAAGAATATAAGAAATTCTTGAAATTAGACTTAATTTTCTCAAAGATTAAACCACCGAACGGAATCAGATTTGACCAGCCAGAGACTTACCACTTTACCCGATGAATGACTAAAGGTATTTATTGAAATATTTATATTATCATTTAGTAATAAATGTAAAATGACTGTCAAAGAAAAAAATCACTTAAAGAAATATGCTGTTTCAAAGTTAAATGTTATATAGAAACATAGATATCAACTTCAGATTTTATTAATGTCCTAAATTATATAATATTGTTAACGAAATTATTTAAATATGAAAAATAAATTAGGAAAGTCAGTATTAAAACATTTCTAAATCACATATAGTATCAAAATGGTACATCAAGAATGTATTTTCTTAATTTGATGATCATGTTGATAATATTACTAGACAAAATTTTGCAAGAAAAAGATATGTATGATTTAGAAGGCGATAAAGATTTGATCGAAAATATATTCAAAATTTGAAGACCATTTTTTTTAAAGGATCTACCATTTGATCTAATGACTATTAAATAATGAATAGAATTTGAAAGATTTATCATTTCCTTCGTTTTTTTACGAACTGAACCAAGTAGATGACAAAAAAATAAAGAGTATAATAAATCAAAAGAATTTATTATGTTCTTTAAAAATAGTAAATTTTAGAAAATTCTTGACATTTTTATTTAAAAAACGATAGCACAGTGGGGTCGAGGCACAGTGTGGACGAAGCATAGATGGGACAAGTATAGATGATATCTGACAGTGATTAAAATCACTATCATAAGAAACGCTTCAATGCAAATCTGTAGATAGTGTTTAATTTTAAGAGATTTGTAGATTATTTCAAAAGCAACCATAACTCTTATTCCCTTAATTTTATCCCGATTTATAATTATAATATATGAATACTTAATAATTGTACTAATTAAATTTAATATGAATTAATATTGTAATTATTACGGAGATATTATAAAAATAAAAAAAGAATTGTATATTTATATACTTTTAACGCGTATAAAAATTTAAAAGAATTGACGCAATACTTTTTAATAAAAAATTTTTGTTACTTATGAATAAATACACTAGACTACAATGAACTTTCATCAGAAACAAAAATATAATATTCTAAATCAACATTTCGCGATGTTTTCAAATGTACAATTAGATTTTTTCTATCACTTCTAAGTTTTAATATTATTAAAAATCGTATTTTCATATAAAAAAAAAATTAAGAACAAAAAAAAAATTGTTTTAAATTAATACTGATTTTGATTATTAATATGTTAAAAATAAGGAAAATGACACATTTAACCTATTTTTTTAATCGTTTAAAGTTGATTTTTGTAAATGTTTATAATAAAAAAAAATAATTAATTTTACCATAACTTTTCGCTCAATTGGGAAGTTTGAAATTGACATCATTAAATAGACAATTTTATGAGAGTTAAAAAAATTGTATCGTTAAGATTAATATATGCAGTCAGAAAGTTTTATAATTACTATTTATTGTAAATTTATCAGAAAAGCTCAATATTTTTTTGCATTTTTATTGTAATAGATAACTTAAATAGAAACAATAGTAATAATTTCCTAGTAACTTTTGGTGTTTGAAAAGATTCTGCAATTGAAATATTCAGAACTTAATTAATTTAAATAATTTACTGTAACTAAATGAACCTATCAAAGTTTTTAAAAATATTTACTCAATTGAGCATATTATAAAATTTGAATATAATTGTAAAAATCAATTGTTAATTCAGGAGAAAAAACAATCATTTTTTTTAGAAATTATTTATATAGCAACATGTTATAAAAAAATTTGTAATATAGTCTAGTAGTAGCACACACAAATACAGTAAAAAATTTATTAAATTACAAAGTAAAATGATTTAATTTTGTAGTTGAAACCTATCAAATCAAACTTGATTCGTCAATAAATACTTTGAAAACATTAAAAATGAATGATTTTAATTGTCTTTATGAAGAACATGTAATAACTGACTGTTTAATTGATAAATTAGAATTTTTTTTCAATTTTTGAGGGTAATATCTTCAACTAGATACGAATTATAGTCTTTTGACGTATCGTTGAAAAAAGTAGGTCAAGTTAGAGCAGAAAAAATAAATGATAGTTACAAAAAAATATCTTCTCAACTTTGCGTCGAAGCTAAAACTTAAAATATAGTAAAATAATTTTAATATGAATAAAAAATTTCTTCTCGCTAATGGCGACTACAGTGATGGGATCCTTGATCTTAATTGAAGTTATTGAATCTAAATGAGATAAAAATCAAAGGAGTTGAAAATTTATTCTAATTTAAAAAGAATTAAGAAAAAATGCAAAAATTTCATTGCCATACGCGGGTTCGTAAAATTAGCGATTTTTACATTTGTATATTTTTAAAGGATTTCCCCCGTTTACGGGGAACGAGGGATTTTTTTTTATAAATTTTGAGGGTAATGTCTTCGACTAGATACGATTTGTGATCTTTTGACGTATCATTGAAAGAAATTGGTTCGGTGAGAGCTGAGAAAAAGTGGTAACAGACACAAAAAAAAAAACACATCATAGTAAAATTAATACCTTCTCAGCTTCGCATCGAAGCTAAAAGTCCTTATTTGGAAGTCAAATATCATTAAATATAAAATGTGACTGGAATTTTGAGACAACTATCATAATAAAGCTGGTGTCAAAACTAATACGTTAAAAATTTTTAAGACAAACTGTTCACATTAAGTTTTTTGATTTTAATTAAAAATCTAAATAAAAACTCCATAAAATATATATATTGCATAAGAATATTTATACTATACTAACCATTTATTTGTAAGTCAATGAACCCAGGTACAATAAAAGAATCTAAGCAATCAATTTCAATATCAGGTAATCTTCTTTGATCATAAAATATTATTTCAGGATCAATAATTTTTCCATCTTCAACCCATAAATCTAGTGGTAAAAACTGTCCATTTTTTAAAATATTACAGTTAAAATATTTTGTGACAACAGACATGTTTTACAGCTGAAACCAGTACATTTAACAAATGGTTAGAGATAACTAAACACGCCATTGCTCGAACTATCTCCATACTACATATTTAACTTATTGGAGTTCACAAGGTCATTTAAAAGTAAACATTGATAGCTTACTATAACTAATAGTCTACAGGTTTACTAGAAATTATAACTATTATCTCATCAAAACAAGTTATTTTATTTTATGAATAATAAATAATACCTTTGAGTAAATAAAAATAATTCGGTAAATAAAATTATTATCTTATTTCTAAAATAAAAGAAAAAAATAACAAAAATATCACTATTTTTTAACACTTCAGTCTTTACAAATATATACATCGAAAAATAAATATGTTATATGGTCTTAAATATTTTTTAAGACTTGTAAATTAGTATTTAATACCTCAATTAAAATTAAAAAATAGATGAGGTAATAATAACATCAATAAAAAATTTATATTAAAAATTATGTACCACATAATACATTGCTTGAGTCATAAGATAATAAATATTTCTATTCTTCAAGTAGAACAAGCAAACAATTACAAACATTTGTTACATTTACAAATATTACCTACTATTATGTGCTATAAGAGGAGTTATTAATAATTATAACTGTCAGATGTCATTACAAAAATTACTTAGGTCAAAATTCTTTAATTAGGTGCTTAAATTATTAAAGATAATTAGCTAATACCATAAAACTAGTATAAGAATAATTTGTGAAAAATATCTACTAAAAAGCTATATTAGTTGGTTATGACCATGGAACGTTGAAATTTGAGCAAATACAAATTGTTGAACAATATATTATATAAATTCAGTTTTAAAAATATTTTTAACTGAACATTAAAAAAAAAATAAAAGAGTAATAATAATAATAATAATAATAATAAACAAATAATAATTAATAAAACAAAATAACAATTAATGTTTAATATTGCATGTACATTTGTGAACAATATTTGAATTTATTTAATTATAAAATAACATTTTTATATATAGCCAAGTTATTTTGCTTTATATTTTATAATATAAATAAAATATTCATTTAATGAAATTTATTTACATAAATATTTGAAAATTATCTAAGTCTAGATTAAATTGACTAAATGTTAACTAGATTGTTTGAAACGAGGTCAACACCCATTATTTTCATAAACAAAAAATGTAAGTTTATGTAACAATAAGTTTCAAGATAAAAAAAAATCTTAACTGAATGAAAACAACTCATATATTAATATATTATACCTTTTAATAAATAGGAACTAAAATTACTTTTTCTTATTGAGGAAATAAATTAATTTTAATAATTATGGTTAAAATAAAATAAAAAAATCAGTAAAATGTCAACATCCTTAAAAATAAAATAAATTTGTTATATCTAGAAAAAAAATGCACTTCGAGCAGTCTCAAAAAATAATTAACTATAAAATAAAAATTGAAGCAAAACAGGAAAAATTAAGTTACCAATTAAATTTTTTGGGTAATAGATAAAGATCAATTTTACAATCAAGTTAAATTGTTGCATTCAAAACAAGAACATGATGATTATTTTTAGCCAATGTAACAATATGACCTCCAGAAGTGATTTTTAATCCACAACAACGAGATACCTGAAATAATATCAAGTTAAATTAAAATTTAGACTAACTTTCAAGTTATTGTTCTGGGTAAACCTCTACCCTTAAAAACTAAATAATTATATTATGTATAATAATTTATATAATGTAATTTAAGTTGTACAAAAGAATAGCGTTCTTCTTTACTATTAATAATTAAAGACTAGACAATGTTTTAGTAAAAGTCAATATTTAAAAAAATTATTGTTACAATTTATGAAAAATGTATGATAGCTGCAATACTTTAAACTATTAATTTTCTTTAAACACAGTTTTACTCAAAATCTGATTAATCATCAACCTAAATACAAGAGAGGATAGAACAAAGACGTAGTTTGAAAAAATTGTGGAATTCTATATGTCTGCAATAATTTAAGAATAAAATTCTTATTTTCCATTATTATTTTTTTTTTTTGTACATTATTTTTCTCATTCTCCTCTTTTTTCATTTTCCTCTCGTCTCTTAAATGGGTGCCTAAAGGGGTTACTATCCTACAGTTTCTATGCAAACTTCATTAATGGTTTTAAAAATAATAATGTATCATATCAATGTTTAAAAATGTTATGAAATAACTTTAAACTAAATTAATTTTTACAATTAATTAAATTTTTTTTCTTCTATCAAAATAAAGAATATTCTTGAGATTTGGAAATAAAATGAATAAAAACCTAAAATCTTATTTTCACATCTTTACACAATGCTACAAACCGTCTGCTGAGAACGATAGTGACCGAACTCCAAAAAAGCTCAATAAACAAGCAAATGGTCAAATAAAATTAACTTATTAGCTTACACCTTGGCGTGCTAATCATATTTTTGATGATTTCAAAGTTTGGTTGCTATTGTTCTTAGCAGTAGTTATATTCGGTTAGGGTACAAAAACTCATTCACACATTAAAAAAAAAATTTTTTTTTGTTGTTACTGTCTTTAAATAATGTATGATTACAAGATAATTTTTTAATAAAAACGATAGTACTAAAGTTTAAAATACTGTCTTTCATAATATTTAAAAAAAAATTGTGATTAAATATTAGTAAGCAAATAGTGGTATTAACAGATGGAAAATTTTTTAATAGTTTATACACCACACTGCTGATTATATAATTGTATCTTATAGTATTAAGATAGATTAACTTTTTTTTTTTCCACATGCCGGCATGATGTGGACCGCCCTGGAACTACCGCGAGGTATTGCTTCAGGGCGGTCCACGCCGTCTAGAATTCACACCACCACGTTGTGAATCAGCCTGAAATTAATCAAGAGCTGATTCACAACGTAAGATAGATTAACTAAGAAGACCTAACCCAAGAAAATACTATTAAAACGACAAAATAAAAAAGCAACCAAAAAAACATTTCTAAATTTACACTATATTGGTAATATTTTTACTGTGACTGTTCTAGTAATAATACAACTCTTAACAAATGAATTTTAATTATAAGAATTATTAGTATTACTTATTAAATGTAATTACTTAGTTATAATTTTTTTTACGATTATTGCCTTGATTTATAGCCAAAATGTTGCCTAACATTAATATATGTTCAGGACAATGAAAATAATTTATAGACTGTATGTAATTGGAAGAGTTATTATACATTTAAAATTGTTGAATCTATTAAATAGAAAAGTAATTACTAGTTTAGTATCCATATTATAAAATTTAATTCTTAAATTTGTTTTTGTAATTAAGATTTTGAAAATCCTTGATTGTCCATTAACATGATCAATAACATTAATGCTCTATTATATCTTTTTCTTCTTTTTCCTCACCTTAATCCTAAATACTTAGGGTCGGTCACCCTTATTCTAAACTTCCACTTGACATGATCTCCCACATCATATACATTCATATCATCCATTCTTATATCATATTCAATAATATCCCTTTATCTCTTTTTTGGTCTACCTCTTCTTATATGGACGTCAGGTCCATATAACCTCAAACAGTTTACTTTGCTAAGTAATAATTTGGTTTTTATCACCATCCTTCAACTTGTTTTTTTTTATAACAATTTCAAGTATTTTATTAAAAGTTATGAATATTACTAAGGTGGAAAGAGCGAGGATAAAAAATAAAAATTGCAGTACTTGCATCTAACCTCACTATTAAATTATTTAATATCAATTTCATACTAAACTTAATAACTGTAATAAGTATTTATTCATTTGTTATACTTATAAATCATAAAACTTGTATTTAAGGCATACTTAAGAAAATGGAAGATGATGATGCTTTTAATATATCTCAACAATTTCTTCTAAAAATTAAACACTATCTACAGATTTTTTGTAGATATCTATACGGGTAGACTGGATTCACGGTTAAAATGACATACCATCACGCACAAGTGATGAATAGCACCAGCTGCTTCAACAAATATCTCCACGGTATTTGTAAAACAGTAATGGTAACATGCGACCACTTTCAGAATCATTCAGGAGAGACAAACAATGCTGTGCACACCCTCTTTTTTGAGGTATGGTGACGAAATCATGAAATTTTAGAGCTCTATGTTTCGTATTGGGTCCATAGTATCTTGATATTGGGGAGCCGAGAGGCCTAAATACAGATCCAAGTGTTTGCTGAATTCATCTTGAATAAGAAAGAGGAATCAAAATGCTTAAAACAAAGGCAACCACGCCGCCTGGACTAAGAGGACCTGATACGCAGTTTTGGGCCGGCACCTTATGAGTTTGTTCTGTATGTTTTATATCTGTAAGTTATTTGGCCAACCTTCGCCAAGTTCTGATCACACCTTCACGTGGTGCAGCCCAGACAACAGACTCCACTCTAGGGTCTGGATAACGGAGAAAGGCCACACCATGTTGTGAATCAATTTTAAGCTGATTCACAAGGTGGAGGTGCGAATTTTATTGTGACGTTGGCTGCCCTTTGGTAATGCCTCATGGCAATTCTAGGGTAGCCAACAATATGTCGACATGTGACTTATGTCACAAAAGAACAAATTTTAATAAATTTATTTAAAAATATAATATATTTCCAATTAGTTTATTAATAATAATGGTAGATATTTACAAGGCGAGTGTTATAGATATGACAAATCTAATAACTTTTTATGATTATATCACTGTATTTTAGCTTTAATGTGAAGCTGAGAAGGTATTGGTTTTACTATGATGTGTTTTTTAGCTTTGATGTTTTTTTTTTCTGTTACCACTTTTTTTCAGCTCTCACCGAACCGATTTCTTTCAACGATACGTCAAAAGATCACAAATCGTATCTAATCTAAGACATTACCCACAAAAATTGAACAATTTTCCCTCGTTCCCCGTAAATGGGGGAAACCTCCAAAAAAATTACAAACTTAAAAATCGCTAATTTTCGAATTTTTTTTTTACTTAAAACTGCCATAACTTTTTAAAAAATGAACAATATAATTTTTTTTTTTATAGATTTCTCATAAAAAAATTGTATTGATCTATGCATGTTTCGAAAAGTTATAGAAATATAAAGTTAAAAATGTAAAATATAAAATCGAGAATTTTAACACAAAAATAGCATACGGTAGCCATTTTTAACGTGAAGACAAAATAAAATCCGAAATTTTTTTTTTTCATAATAAAGTATATTACATTAGCTTTAATTTAAGATATATATAAAAGTGTCATACTTTCTGGAACACTTTTAAAAGTTTGGTTAAAAAAATTAATTTTTTGTGAAAAAGTTGTCATTTTAAATCCCCCCTGTGGACAGGTAAAGGGTCATATTTATAAAAAAAATATATCAAATGATAGGTAAAGACATTATGCATATATAAAAAAAAATTATATTGATTTGTTCATTTTTTAAAAAGTTATGGCAGTTTTAAGTAAAAAAAAAATTCGAAAATTAGCGATTTTTAAGTTTGTAATTTTTTTGGAGGTTTCCCTCATTTACGGGGAATGAAGGAAATTTTTTCAATTTTTGAGGGTAATGTCTTATGACCAGATACGAATTGTGATCTTTTGACCTATATTTGAAAGAAATCGGTTCAGTGAGAGCTGAGAAAGTGGTAAAAGACAAAAAAAAAAAAACACATAGTACAATTAATACCTTCTCAGCTTCGCATCAAAGCTAAAAAAATAATAATAATAATATGTTTTATCATTTTTCTTTAGTAAAAAAAATATATACAAATAAAATATTTTTATTTCTATTCAAAATTTCAGAATAGTTTATACTTTAATGAATACTTGTTCTAAAATTATTATTAACCTATCAAATTGTTAAGAGAAAAATTGTAAAGTTATAATTATAAAAAAATATGATTTATTATGACATATCTATTAGACTCATCTGTATATTATTGATTTTTTTTTTGGATCAAGAAAAATAATAAATGAAGTTTTTAAGGTATTTATTGGTTTGAGGTCCAGAACAAAATGTTCTCTTTCCAATATGAAGAAATTTAACAAAAATACTTACTTTTATATAAGGGCATTCTAAATCTGTTAAATGAGTACCATCATGAGAAAATACAGCTACATGAAAACGATTACCATGAGAATCACCAACTAATATTTCACCATTTTCAGATATATCTATACCATTTGGAAAACTAGTAATGTATTCACCTCCAATTCGTCGCAAACAAACACCCTCATCATTAAATACTACTATTGAGTGGCCTTTAAAATCACAAACATAATAATCTTCATCTGAAAAATTTAAATAACAAAAATATTTAAATTAAGTTTTTTTTATGATAAATCACATTTAATTTTTAATTATTTATTTGAATAAATAACTTTACCTCTGACTATTATATCTGACGGTTCTTCCATGTAAGAAGCACAATCAAACCACTTCATTATTCCATTATCTTCATTAACATTTAATACAAATACAGTTGGATGTACACTATCAACCAGAGCAAGATGACCATTAGCAGTTACAGCTACTCCAGCAACTATTTCAATAAATTGAACTTGTATTTTTTTGATAAATTTACCAGTAGGATATTCAAATATTTGTACTCTTGATCTATCTGAACCACGGTCACAAACAACTATCTGATTGTGATTTAAAAATACAACTTTTCTAGGGTAAAATAAATAGCCATCTTCTTTACCCTCTCTACCAAATTCCGTTTTGTATGTACCATCTTTTTCAAACACCTAAAATAACAATTAAGTACTTATTAGTTTATTAATTTAAATAAAATTCTATAAGTTAAACAAGATAATTGTTTAATTGTCATAACAATTCAATAATTAAGTTTCAAAAGAATTTCATAACATATATATATAGTACTAATAATTTAATTTTATAACATTACTAACAGACTTCTTAATAAAACTTTCAAAAAGTAGGAAAGGTGCATAGTTTTTATAATTATGTAGAAATAAAATTTGCTAGTTTTTCAAATTTTTCGATACAAAATAACTGCAATTCTAAATAAATTAAAAAAGAAAAAATTCCATACTTCTCTTAAGGATTGTAGGCATACATTGTTTTTATACAAGGACTATTCTAAAATCAAATTGAACTCCTTATTCCTTCAATATTCCTAATTAGTAGATCTATGATTTATACTTTTAATATACGAATAAATATTTATTTTATCAATTAAATAGATTATGAAATTGATATTTAATAATTTAGTATTGTAATTTTTAGGGAGAAATTATAAAAAAATTATTAGGTAGATATTACTTTTATGGCAAACATGTATAAAAGTTGAAGGGCTTGATGCAATACTTTTCAAAAAAAAAAAAAAAAATTGTTTGTTACATAATAAATTTATTGGTCTATAAAGAATTTTTATCAAACACCAAAATATACTTTTCTTAACTTATTTTTACGCCTATTTCAAATCCGCAATTAAAGTTTTGCTTATGAACTAAATAATAACAAAACCCTTCAAATTAATATAACAAATATTTATATTTGATTATTATAATACGTATGAATAATCAATAAATATATATTTTAATTTAAAAATACGTAACCAGCAGAATGTATTATGTTATTATGGTATCAAAATAAGTAATTAATTTAACACCAAGAGTTGCATAGTAATGCTTACTATGATTTCTATTTAAATGATTTATTACAATAAAACGTTTTAATCGAAATTTTGAGTTTTCGTTATAAATTTACTATTAATAGTAATTATATAAGTTTCTGATCATATATCAATTAAAAAAATAGAATATTTTATCCTACATGAAAATTTTTTTTTTTAATGATATAAATTCTAAACTTGCAAGTTGAGCTAAATTTGTGTTTAAAAGTTCTATAATATTTAATTATAAACTTTTATACAAATCAAGAATTTGTAATGAATCAAAAAAATTAGTTAAAAATGTCATTTTGAATTAAAATTTTGCACGGATTATTTTTAACATATAAAAAATAAATAATAACTTGATAAAATTTTATTTAATTTTTTCATGTTTCTAATTATCAATAATCTCAAAAAAGAGGTGATAGAAAAAAACTAATTTCAGACTTGAAATCAACATTATTATTTGGTTTAATAAAGTATATATTAGTTTATAACCATTAAACAATATTTTATTTTACTGTGTATTTAGTATAAAAACAAATTTTAAACTCCTATTAATCTGGAGATATTTAATTAATAATAGTTTTTGTGAAGTGGCAATTTTTTTCAATGGCGTAATTTTGAGATATTTGTCTGAATTTCTAAAATTAAATGATTTTTTCCAATATTCGGAGATTATAAGTTCAGTAAGATTAAAATTGTGTTCTTTTAATGTTAATAAATACAATATAAACCATACATTAATATATTTTTAATATGAATAAGAAAGTCCTTTTAACAAGGGTATACTAAAGTAATAGGATCCTTGATATTCAACAAATATTTTTATTGAATCGGTGAGCAAGTAAAGGTCCAAATAAAAAAAATTTATATCAAATGAAAGGAAATTACCTAATTTCAATATAAAAAAAAAATTGTTTTTGGTAAATAAAAGTGAATAGAATGTCAAAAATTACTTATTTTTAAAATTGTAATTTTTTGGAGATTACCCTTATTTAAGGGGAACGAGGTAAAATTTTTTTCAATTTTTGAGGTTAAATCATTGACTAAATATAATTTGTGATCTTTTGACATATCATTAAAAGAAATCGGTTCGGTGGAAGCTGAAAAATGTGGTAATAGAAACAAAAAAAAAACACATCATAGTAAAATTAATACCATCTCAGCTTCGCATCGATCTAAAAAATATATTTTTTTTACATGGTGTTATATGAAAAATTATAAATTTAAACTATTAAAATTTTTACATATTACAAAAAAATTTCACTTATAGTTGTTGAATTCTAAGTGCCTTATATTGAAATTTCTCATAGAATGATTTATTAAGTTATAATAATGACACATTTTTATAAAAATGAAAAAATGAAAATTTTATTATTTTTAACAATTGAATTTATGATTATAGAATTGATTATTATATTTGTGTAAATGTACAATTTTTTCAAATCAAACAAAAAAAGCAAAAAACTAAAAAATGTTGAAAATAATTAACTTAAAATAAAACAAAAATATTCTTAGTAAAATACCTCGAATCTTGACAACTATAATGACAGAGTGCAACATATCAATATAAGCTATACCCACTACCCTACAAACCCACTCATGTATTTATATTTGTAACTCAATAAATACTTATTTTAATAAAATTGTTATATAATTATATTTATGTAAAAAAAAAAAAAAAATTACAAGTAGCTAGTAACTTTCACATAATGGTTTATCAATTAAAAATTTAAAAAAAGACTTAACATCTAATCATGAAAAAAATTAGATTACTTGTATACGATGGTTATGAGTATCTGCAACTACAATATCTTCAGATGGACTAAGACAAAAACCATGAGGAGAATGAAACTGACCAAGACCACTTCCCATTTGACCAAATTTTGCAACAATATCCATACTAGGTCTACTAGAATGACGTTTAGGTCTAGTTGGTGGGGCTCGTCTCTCTTTACTATACCAATTAGAGTTAGTGGCTACACCATAAATATCTACCATAAATATAAGAACAAAAATATTATTTGTAAACTAGTTTTACTCTAAAAATTTGTAATTAGATCACATAATCATTAAAGAGACTCTTCTGTATCGGAGACAGGCTAGATTGAATTTATACTTAGTGTATGCATAAAAGTCATTGACTAAGATTTAAAACACCTATCATTATATTTTTTTTTTTCGCTTTATCAGCGCATTAAGGGCCATAGCGGCCTCTCTCAAAGGAGGAGGTTTCTTAACCGTTAATACTCCGGGATGGGTAGTTAGTCCATCGCCAGAGAAAGGGATGACGACTCTAATTACTGAATTGATCTTTTGTTTGACAAATAAGACGCCCACAACTGATTTTTGAACCCGAGGCAATGTGCGTCGAGCACTGTCACATTACCGACTCGGCCACACCGTCCCACTATAATTGTAATATAATATAATGTAATGTCTATTTAAATAAAATAATTAGAATGTTTCTGTTACTAACAAAAACATTAATATTGTATGTTTTATTATTAATAAAGGTATAACTAATAATTACCTATGGATGTGTTTAAGCTTTTATGGATTGTCTTGTTGCTTAAGGATGTATCCATTATATAGTTGCAGCCACCGACTAGTAACCATCACTCTGAAGATGGACTCTACAATGAGTCTGAAATGTCAGAACTCAATTGAAAAACTTGGATACATCCTTAAGCACTTCAAGCAAAAATAATTACCTAGTGTATATTTGAAAATAAAATAACTTGTTATCTGTTGAGATTACTGTTAAGGATGTAAAATAAATTAAGTTGAGAGACTTTAATATCTAACTACTAGCTTTTAATCATTCAAGTGCTTGTAAAATTATGATTTATATTCCTTTAAATTATAATAAAACTTTTTCTTTTAAAAATATATAAAGCACAACTTTTTGTGGATGATCTCTTTCAAACGCTTCCTGTACTTAGATTTATTGTATCTAGTATACTTCATTAAAATCTCATTCAGATCAGTCTTAAAAAAAAAAAGTTATATCAGTTTAATGTAAAGTTTTTTTGAAAATTCTATTTTTCAGTAGTGCAATTTTGAGATATTTTTTATAACTTCTCAAAATGAGGTTCTTTTTTTTAAATTAGTGTAGATAAATTCAACTAGATAAAAATTGGTATTTTTTAACATATTAATTATTGAAATTGAACACAGTGAGAGCTGAGAATTTTCATAGACAGTTATAAAATCCATACATCACCATAAAACCAAAACCTTCTTAGCTTCATATCAAAAGTATAAATATTATTTTAAATTTGATTTCTATTTTGCGTATCAAAATAACAATTTTATGATTTTGATAGTAATTAAATAAATTTATTACAATTTAATTAATAATACTAAAACCGTTAAACATTAATTGATTTTTTTTTTTTTTTGATAATTTTTTGTTTTTAATTGATGATTAAATATATCTTGTTTAATAATGGTAAAATTTTTCAAAATAAATTCAATGTCAATTAATTATGAATATATTAAATGAGTTAAAATTAATTAAAAATGTTTAATTAGATAGTTATAATGTAATAAATTCAAGTTTTTATATTAAATAGTTAAAAATTAAAAGAACTGGTTTTAATAATTAGGACTTTGATAAATTATTAACGAATTTTTTTATTACTATTATTTTTTTTAATGTTCAATAATAAGCGTTTTGCTATATTTTTTTTCATACAAATTATCATTATCTTAAGTAGAGACTTAATATATATTAAGTCTCTACTTAATTATTAGAGGCCAGCTCTACCAGACGAGTTTGTAGTATATTCTCTGGCTATTAAGCTGACATATCTTTATGGTTGGTTAAGGGAAGCAGTATAAAGGCAAGGTGTGTGTCACTATTAAAGTTCCTGTATGGTCGACCATCCATGAACCAACAGAAAACAGCACAACTGCATTAAGGTGATGATTGAATGATCCACTGTACTACACCACACCCATTGAATAATATCATATTAATAAACTTAATTTATTTGAATATACTAAATTTATTCTGATAAATATAGCTATAAACTAAAAAAACAACCATAGTTATTGTATGAGTTTGGAAAAGGGCTGATATCAGAAAACTTATAGTACTACAATAAAGTTTTGTTTAAGGAAACCGTTACAATTTATCACAAAAGTAGAGTTACTGTTTAAATATAAATGAAAATAATATACTTATTATTATAATGGTTAAATAATTATAAAATTTTCAAAAATTTTAATTTAACTCATACAATCATACAATTTTTATTTATAAACAAAAAACTTTGTTATATATCTTAATATTTACCTGGAGACAATGTAGTTGTAGGAGAACTCATAGATGAACCGCTACCCATAGAGAATGGATCAAGACCTGGCTGGTTTAAAACTAATGGGCTCATTAAACTTTGAATCATATCTAAAACAATTATTTTTATTTTATATTAAAAAATAATAACTTTAATTTGACTCCTACTATTGTTATTGTTGTTGTTGTTAATATTCATATTGTCGAGTTTTGCAAGTGCTTGTAAATTATTGAGAGCAAAATTATTGTCTAAATTAGTTGGGGTGCTTAGTAAGTCACTTAATGAATCAGATGTCTGCAATGTTGGTAGTATAGGGTTATCCTCAACATTAAGCGAACATAAACGAGCTAAGTTTAAATCAAATATTTGAGATTCCACCATTGAAGTTAATACTGGAGGTGGAAAAGGACGGTCTGTTAAAAAATTAGATCTAGGCGTAGGTGGAGATATAGGTCCAACAGTTACATTGTTGCATTGATCAGTTTCAATTTGGCCAAAATATTTCTGTAAATAAAATTTATTCAATGAAAAAAGAAACAAACAAAACTTAAAAAATACACACCTGACAAGTATTTTTAAAACCAGATATATCAGGAGTGTAGGATATTTTTGAATCAATATCTACATCAGGTATTTGGCCAAAAAGTTGTAGCATTTGGGTAAATATAAGTTTCTTTAAAGCCATTATTTCAGATTCACTACCATTTTCTAAAAGACGAGTGGCAAATTGTTGTACTCCATCAATGCTATCCGTAATTTTTTTTACTCTAAATTTTAGAAACAAAAATATTACTAATTTAAACTTAAAAAAATGTATAATAAAATATCTACTCTTCAAATTTATCCATTATTTTTAATTCCTGCTGTTTTTGTACAGATTTAAGTTGAGCTAACGCATCATTTTTGCAAGTTTCTAGTATAGCTTTAAAACTCTAAAATAAATAAATATATATAATATAAAAAAAAAGACAATTGCTAGTAGAGATAAAAAGATAAGAAACTAGAAAAATATTGTGTCATCACGTCTTATAACCCTGTTAATGATAGTACTTTGTCATTCTAAGATATTATTTTTGTTATTATACTTAGAAAATTATCAGTAAACAGGTTTATCAAACGGAATCCAGAAATCATAGCACAGTATGATATAAATAGTACAAAATAGTTCACGTTATACAAATTAGAACATATTGACAAAATATTTTTACTATATTTATCAATACTTCAAAAACTATCAGTTTTAAGCGAAACTATTTAATAACCTTTTTTATTTAAATATATTTTCATAAATAACGAGTATTGTTGAGTTTTATTATTTTAACCAAAAAGTATTAACTAAACGCGAAATTGTAAGAAGAACTTTTTTTATAGAAAATTACAATAGCTACAATATTATATAAAATAATATTTTTTTTAAAACTAAATCTATAGCCTAAAAATGTAAAACATTGAAATTTTTTATATTTTTCCAAAACTTTGACCTTTATGTGCGCCCAGTTAAGCAAGTAGTATAAAGCTCAAATTTTTTAGAGATTATCTTTAGACATAAAGGAACAAATTTACGCCTGACACTACTGAAGTTTCGCTCAAAAATTTTCCTTCATGTGTAAATAGTGGCCACCCTAGTGTATATACATCAGTGCAAACTATATTTCCCACCAAAGTTTAATACAAATGATTTAATTAAAAAAATGACTGGTCAATAACAACTTTTGGACCAGTATCAAAAGTTATCAAAAATTTAAAGTAATGATTGAAGGTGAAGAGTGGGTGCTAATATTTTTATCACTAGTTATTTTCTAACTATACTTTTTGTCCTGCCTAGGTGTAAAAATATATGTAACTAAAAGAAGTCAAATTTTTTTTTTATTGTATTTATTTTGCAATAAATCGAGTGGTGTATGATGAATTGATCACCACTTTTTTTTAAACAAATCTAACTTTTGATCTATTGAATATTTTAAGCTTTTCTTCTTCTTTCTTCTCGCCTTAATCCTAACTATTTAGTGTTGGTCACTCTTATCCTAAACTTCCATTTAACACAATCTTCCCACATCAGCCATTCTTATATCACATTTAATAACTAAATATTTATCACTCCTCCTCTTGCCAAAGTAATGTTCAGAACTTTTATAATAATGGTTTAAAAGTTGTTATTGATTCATGGTTTCTTAATTAGATCATTTCTTATCATTTAATCTAGTTAAATATATATGTTGCCATTAGAAAAAATTAGAACACCCTTAAAGGAATTAGAACTGAATATAAGAAATATTTTATGACTGATAAATTGAGAAAAGTATGTAACTAAAAGACAAAAAATTATTTTTTTTTTTGAATAATTAAGTATTTAATGATAAAATAATCACTCTATACAATATATTTAATGCGATTACCTGGAATGTCTCCTCAATATTTGATTTTATATGATCGTGAGAAAGCTGCAGAATATCTAATGCTTTTTCTAAAGAAGCTGGTAAAACAGAAACATTCTTCATAACATTTTTGCTTTCACGCACAAGATACTCTAATTCAGTACCATACTTTTTATATGCATTGGATAAACTATCATAGCTATGTTGACAAGTTCTTGGAGTGGGTATATTAAGACATTTGGTGCATGCTAACTCCTACAAATTAATGAATAAATAATAAAGGGTAATAATACAAATCTTAAAATTTTAAAAATATAAATATTGTATAGATATTAACTATAATTAATACCTAACAACATATGCACAATATCTATACAAAAAAATTATTTTGAATACAAATGTACAACTTAAAATTAAATTTTTCAAAATAACATTGTGTCATATAACAATTGTACACAACAAGGCTTAAGTGCATTTTATCACTTTTCTTATGAATTTCAAAAAATGTTATTTTTTGATAGATTTGTTTTTCTCTTCTGATTACAAATATATCATATATTTTTTTTGCCTAAACACAATTTGTTAAAAAGTTACAAGCTATCAAAGTTTACAATTTACTCAATTTTAAATCACATTTTTACTTCAAATTACAGTATATATTATTGTTGTTAAAAGTTATACAATCTTAATTTACACTATAATAGTAATTATTTTAAAATCTATATTATATACTTCAGTTTTAATAATGATTATTTTAGTTTGTGAAGCGCTCAAGTTCTTTGTCTATTAAGTAACACTGCATATTAACAGGCAACCTAAGAAGGGTTCTAGTCTCAACATAGATTTTTTTGCACTTTTTTGTACTACAATATGCTAATCATGCAGTTATGATCAAGACGACAGAGTAATAATTTTGCATACAGATTCATTTAATTTTAAGCTAATGTGATATTATGTGTGGCCTAGGAACATGGTATTTGTTTCAAACAAATAATACAAATATATAATTTATCCCCTTGGAGTTTTCCTAAAACATATTAACTATAAATATTTTTTGGTTATAGGTGCAATTTGATAAATAATTATACATACGATTGCTAGACACCTCTAACTAAAGTTACAATAAAAAAAAAGTAATATAATATCGAGTTTCTGAGAAGGGGCCAAAATTGTTTTGATGAAATTTAAGTCACTGAATTTAACAATGTTTGCCTACTGTTATGTTACATGACTTTCTTGTGTTAATAAGAGAAATATTCACAATTTAAATGTATCAATAAGTATGCTGTGTAAAATAGTTTGATAATATCAGTAAGGTTAATAAATCTAAAAACTTTATAGTCAAACGGGAGTGTTAATCATTTAAAATTTAACATTGCATACCTAATGCAATTTAACTTTGCATTAATGAAATAGTATAATATAGTATTGCATAACTCTATTGTTATGCACCATTGTATTAATACAGTATTGCATTGTACAGTTGCAATTATATTGTTCAACATATTAATGTGATAGATTTATAAAAAAGTATTATTTTGTAAAAATATTTGTCAAGTTTACATTATATTACATATTAAATAATTATATTATAATAATTTCACAAATATAAATCAAATAATTTTTTTTTTTGGTTTTACGATATAATTACTTATTTTAAAATAACATATCATTCTTGGATGACCTTTCTTTTAAGTTACTCATGATTTAGATTTATAAGCTTTGATGTAAAGCTGAGAAGGTATTATTTTTCTAAGTGTTTTTTTTTTTTTGTTTCCATTACCACATTATTCCATTATATTTATTACATTTCCATTATCACTAAACTGTTTTCTTTTAACAATGTGTCTAAAGATTACATTATATCTAGTCAACATTACCCTCAAAAATTAATAAAATTCCCATATTCCTCATAAATGGGAGGATTCTATAAAAAAAATTACAGTTTTAAAAATCAATAATTTTTAACACTGTTTAAACTTATTATTCTTAAAACTCCCAAAAACTTTTTAAAAATGAAAAATACACATAATTTTTATATAGTTACCTTAGATATTTACCTACCATTTGATATATTTTTGGTGAAAATTCAACCCTTTGACATGCCCACAGGGAAGGTTTCAAAATAACAACTTTTTCACAAAAAATGTAATTTTTCAATTTTTCTTTTGAAAATGTTTCGGGGATACTGTAATTTTTATATATATCTTAAGTAAAAGCTTATATAATTATATTTAATTTGAAAAACAGAAAATTTTACCTTGGGACTAGGCTATGTGGTGAAAACGGGTGTATAAGTTAAAGAAAAAGTACAATTTTTGTGTGAAAATTGGAAAATTTTTTAACATGTTGTACAAATTTTTTTGAAAGTATTAAGAAAGGGGTGAAAGGATACTAATCCATTTATTTTGTTATTCAAAATTTTTATTTTATTTTGTTATATTTATTATTTAAAGTAATTTAAAATTTTTTGCTTTTTTAAGTCGAGAATATACAACATAAACTTGAAATTTTGAACCAACTTACTCAAATGGTTCTTTATTTCTAATGATTATTTTGATATGCTGTTGCCACCTAGATAATACTTATGTGTTAAATGCACACAGGGTACGAGGGTCATACACTGTGTGTCAATTAATATTTTTCCTTTTTTTTCCTAATTCTTTTTGAGGTGACAAAAAATTCAAAATTCATTTAAAACCTCATTTAGATTGAATAATTTCAATGAATATCAAAGACCTCATCACTGTAGTCTTTCCTCATGAGAAGAAAATTCTTATTATTTTTTTAAGTGGCTTTTTTTTTTTGTCTATCATTCATTTTTCACAGCTTTCATTTGAACAATGTTTTTCAACAATACGTCAATCAAATGATTAAAATTTGTATTTTCATATAACCTTCAAAAATTTTAAAAAATGTCTACTTTAACAGTTGAAAAATTAATTAAACTACATTTTCCATATCATTCGTTTCTAATGTTTTTAAAATATATATTGTCAAATTAAAATCATTGAAACTAAAATTTTTAGTTTCAATGTAAAACTAAAAAGGTCTTGTACTGTGAGTTCATTTTATATTTGCCCTTAAAACCTCTCAGCTCTTACTGGACCCCAATTTTAATCATTAACACATTAAAACAACACAATATTAATCTAGTTTAATTTATAGTTACCAAATATTATAAGAAACCCTTAATTTTAGAAATTTGGACAAATATTTTAAAATTACGCTACTGTAAAAAATGACTGCTTCAAAAAAATTTTTTTTAATAAAATATTTCCACAAATAATAGAAGTATAAAATTCAATTCTTTATACAGGTTTGCCATAAAAGTAATATCTACTTAATATTTTTTTATAATTCCTCTGTAAAAATTACAATACTAAATTACTGATTATCAATTTCATACTAAATTTAATTACTATAATAAATATTTATTCATTTATTATACTTACAAGACATAAATCTTGTAATCAGGATATAAATAAGGACATAGAAATTAATTTTGCATCTGGAATAATCCCCCAATTTCTTAAGATAAAACACTGATAAACCACTGTGCTATTGTTTTTTCTCTTAATTTTGGGTAATAGTTAAGTCACATGATTTTACTAAAAACTTATATTAAACAACAATATTAACTCAACCACAAAAAAAAAACCAATTTTTAGGTATTTTTGGTTTTTAATTTAACAACTTAAAAAAACTGTAACTTATACTTATTGAACTAATGATTTCTTCAAATTTTTTCAAACACTTTTGAATGAAAAATGAGCATTAAAAAACAAATGTTTTAAATGAAAATATTTAAAATTTGTGAGAGAAGTGGTAAAATGCAGTGGTTTCCACAAGAAATACACTTACAATTTTTTTTTTCATTTTACATAGTATAAAACTTAAAAACTTCTATTTTTCTAGCTTCTCTTTATAATATTATTCAAATACAATAAATAGAACTTACATTACAAGTATTACAGTAATAAACCATTTGTTCATTATTATGCTTTTCACACAAAACCATTTTATGAATAGCAGTTTTATCTTGTGCATTTCGAATCATATCATCAATAGATACCATATAATGGTATTGCCCAGGAGTAACAAGCATCTATAATAAATAATACAGAATGAATTACCAACATAGATGTAATTCGGAGCACTAAACCCTTCAAAAATTGAAGAAAATTACATATAATATGACATAAAAATATTTTTTAGGTAGGGAGAAAACCTGCCTATGGTTACCAAATAAGTTAGTTTGCAATAATATAAATAATTAAAAAAATGTAATAAATTACTTTATGCATGCTCTCACAACTTGAACATAAAAAGTTGCAACAAGTTATACACTTATGAGTTGCTTCTTTATTGTCTCGACAAGACTTACAAATAAGTTTGTGATTTTTCAACATTTCTATCTCAAGAATATCTCTTGTTACATAGTCCTGAGGTAATGTCAAAGCACCACGATTTAACTGAGTCTAGACACAAAAATATGAAAATAATTTATATTATCTATTTTATTTATGTTCTGAACCAAAAAAAACAATACTTACAGTAGTGGGCTGACTACAGGTAGGACATATTATATTTAAAACACTAAACATTGAATTTACATTTACTAATTGTAAAATACATTTCTCACAAAATACATGTAAACAGTTCAAAATTCTTGGGCACATAAGCTGATTTCTAAAATAAAGAATTTTAAATTTATAATAATATTATAGAAAATATAACAACCTAGATATTAATAAATTAACTGTTTTTGAGTTAAATAAAGGATTAATTTTACAAAAATGTAGTTAGGTAAAGTAACATTAAGTTATTCAACTAGAATGATAGTATTAATAAGTTATATCAATGAATTTTGATAGAATAGAGCATAAATTTATAAAATTCTATTCCTATCTATGCCTTGATTTTTAATGTTAAAAGTATATCAATCAGTAAACGATAATTTCTTTAAGGTCACATATTCTTGTAATAGTTAAGTTAGAAGTGGATTTTTTGTATGGCAGAAGGTAGCTGAAGATTATAAATGAACATTGCAATTATTTGGATGAGCCAAAACGGTATACTCTTAGGTTGTACATAATAAAATAGCATAGCGGAGTATGAGAATAGCCTTGGAAAATACTCTACCAAATTCAGAAAACTACATATGTAATGTAAAATTTTTTTTTGTAATTGTCTCAAATTTTAAAATAAGTAAAACAGATAATTATTACTTCAATCTTCTTTTTATTTTATTATAATTGCATATATTGAAATTTATCTCTAAAATTTAATTATTAAAATAAATATACATACTTGCAAATGCCACAAGTGTTGGCTTCTAAACTATAATCTTCTTCTATCAAAAAATCATTGCTAGAATCTAATGATAAATTATCCATATTATAAATACTTTTTGAAGTAATTACAAAATAATATCAAAACACTGGTTTCTTGATCATTAAAACTAAAAACTTTTATATTTGTATACTGAAAAAAAAATTGTATTATTTAAATTCGTTATAAGTATACATAGGGAAAATCAACTTTTGAAATATTCAATTTTTTCACATTCAACTAATATTAATATATTTCTTTTTATATTTAAAAACAAAAATCAAATATATCTGAATTAAAAGTAATAATAAATGACTCTGAAACGACTAAAATATGATGAGTAGACACTGTAATAGTATAAACGAGTATTATTGTTTATTTCTAAACAAAAATGTGTAAGCTTTATGATAAACGTTTATATTAATAATGTTTTATTGTTATAAAACATGCTTTGTGCTCTACATTTCGTAAAATGTGTACTTTGATATTATAAAAAATTATTATTAATTTGTAAAACTTATGAGTAAGAGAAAAATCACTAAAATTAAAGTTATAATAAAGAAAATTGTTAAAAGTTTGTTATCACCCTATTTTTAACACATTTTCTAATATAAAACCCATGACTCGTCAACTGACAAAAAAATGCTATGTATTACATTTAATTTGTAATCGTACAGCTACAAAATGTTTAATAATATTAACTTACCAACACACTTGAAACTTAAGGTTGCTAAAGATTTGAGTCTTTTAAAAGTGCAACCGTATCATGACTAGACGAAATAAGATCTACTATTTCCCATTTGCGGGTCTAAGGTATAAAGACACGACCATGAAGAACCCAAAAGTGACAGCCATTCACGGTTAGATACAAATTATACCACTACCGTGATTAAAAAGCATATTTGAAATTTTTACGTATTTGGATAATAAGTTAGGTTAGGTTAAATCCAGATCTGGGCGAAGATTTTAATTACAGCTATAGATGTACGATTGTACGTACGTTTGTACATGACCTTGTTATACCTCTGTGTCTGTATACCTAACACGTGCTAACTCTACAACCGTACAACTTAAAGGTCGCTTAGAAAACAAAATGCAAAATTAATTACTGTATTATAATTTTTATAGTATAATTATATCAATAACTATTGTTACTATGCAATATTAAATTAATAAAATTTTTCTTTTTAATTGAATTTGTTGAAACTTATAATATCTGAACTTTGACATATCTGTGCTTGTGAACAAATAACTAATATAATCAGTAATGATGTCAACTAACTCCAGGGACGGAATGATCTCAGGTTTAAGGGGGACATCTCCAGCAATGATCACTGTGATTATATAGAATTTTGATTTTATTAATCTTTTAGATTCTAAAAAGTAATTAAGTCAATTTAGTTCTAGTATATATTGCAAAATCATTTTTTCTCACAGTTTTCAGGACAGTCACTCATTAATCAAATAACAAGATAAAAAAATTGTTTTCCTCAATTGGTAACTGAAACTTATTTTTTCTGAGGAGGAAGTCCGTACACAAATTAATCGACTTGTAGCATAAAATTCCAACTTGTGTAAAATTAGTTTAAATGTACGAAACCACAAATAAAAATTCAAACAGTTAACAATTTCAGGTATACCTAAAACGGTACAACCACCGGATTTGTAAAATTCTGTTTCACAGTATAACCATAAAACGCATAATATCCCGTATTACTGTATAAATTTAATATTAATTAATAATATTATTACTATAATTACAATTATTATAATATATATATATATATATATATAATTTGTTCCTCCACACTTAATCGGACAGTCAACAACCGTTCGTTTATCGTTGTTTTCTTTAAAATGCCGGTATATACACATGTCCGGTTGTAAAAAATCGGCGTTTCTACAAACCTAAAAACCTGTCCAACTGAACGTACAAAACAAATTTCCAATTACCAACGCTTTAGCATCATAAACTGCCTGCATGTATATAAGTTGCATATAATGTAAAATACACGGCGTTCATCATCTGAACGTATAATATATTTTACTCTACCGCATGACTAATGACTCGCATTATCCCCGAACCCAACCATATGTATAGTCACCGTTTTAACAATAGACGATAATCTTTAACAATAATGACAGCAAAATGTGATCAGTATTGATACATCAAAATAAAAAAAATAATGATTGTTTAGATATATCAATATTTTTAGAAAATCATAGTGTTAGTATATATACATATTTCTACATATAAGTGTCAGTATTTCCGGAAGACTTTCAAAAACTAAGTTGAAAAAGTTCTACTTCCTACATGCATTTTTAAGTTTTGAGTTCATCTGTATTAAGGGAAATAGTTCGATTTAAAAAAAAAAGTATGTAAAAAAATGACAGAGGTATATAAATATTATTTCTCATAAAAAAATTATATTAATCTATGCATGTTTCGAAAAGTTATAGAAATATAAAGTTAAAAATCTAAATTATAAAATCGAGAAATTTAACAGAAAAATAGCATACGGTAGCAATTTTCACCATGAAGACAAAATAAAGTCCGAAATTTTTTTTCCATAATAAAGTATATTTCATTAGCTTTAATTACGATACATATAAAAGTGTCAGTATTTCCAAAACACTTTCAAAAGTTAATTTTTTGTGAAAAATTTGTCATTTTTTGCCCCCCTGTGGGCAGGTAAAGAGTTAAATTTATATAAAAAATAACACAAAAACCGTGCTTAATTTTACGCTGTGTAACCGATAACCGCAAATAGTCAAACCACTTCCGACACACTCATCAAGTTCCTGACAACCCGAGAGAGTTTCAACCGACGCCGTCACTTCTAGACACAGGTGAAGGTTAATGGCGAAAACGGTCTATGAAAACCAGTTGTCAGCTGTCAACATCACACCTTATCGACCGGATCAAACATTTATCTTTTTTACAATCCCTCATACTCATATACTGAGAAATATTATTAAAAACAACAAATAGCTACTCTTATATAAAACAGCTTAAATGCTCCTCTTTCTTTTTGAAACACTATTTATAATATTTAAATTCAGCGACCTTAAATACATATCTTATCCTATATACAATGTATTCGGTTATAATACTCAGAAAATGAATTTTGGCCAAATTTAACTTAGTATTTTTTATCAAATTAACAAGATTTTAATATTTTGAGTAAAATGACAATTTTTTATTTTCTTCTGTTTTACAATAATATGAGTTTATTAAAAAAGTCTTATCCACTAAAACAGTAATAAAAATGATATCAAATGAAAGGAAATTACCTAAGGTTTCAGTATAAAAAAAAACCCAGCACAGTGGGGACGTGGCATAGTAAGTAAAGAAACTGGTCAATTGTTAAAAACAATAGAAACCCGTTTCCTCACTTACTGAACACCTATACAGACTACATATAGTCTTAAAATATACATTGAAGTCATCTTCTTGACACCTTATGACATGCATCGTTCAAATATCGCTTAGATTTTTCGGCACATCGTCATCCAAATACGATATCAGAAACTAGTTAATTAATTTGATCTCATGCATTATTCATATTTTTCCTTTTTGTGTGTTATACTATACCGACGCTGTCGTCCGAATAATATTCTGAAACGTATACTATTAGCGAGGGCTGAAATCGTGTGCGTGCGACAGTTCAGCTGCGATCTTGTGTTTGGGTTTTGGACAACCGGCAGCGTCTATATGTTTTATGAACTATTAAATATATATCAATGGTTTTTTTTTTTATTAAACCTATTGAGAGTATTTAATGTATTTTAGAATAATATCCCGATAAATTTACTGATCTATATATAATAACCAAGAATTAAAACTTCATCTCCCAAATTTGAAAGATTATATGACAAAAGACAATATGGATTTTTCCATATTGACTATGTTATTTAAAAGATATGTAATAACGACTAGCTCGGCATCGTTAAAGTACATGACTGTCACCTTTTATGAATATCACAAAACTAAATTAAAATTAATCCTCATTAGTACTCTCATGACATCTTTAACTTGGCACCAAAAATAAATGCGGGCAAAAAACCGCTCTCGCGTGAATATTAGGCATAGACGTAGTTTTCTATTCGCGACTAAACAGCTTCGTGTGTAACCAACTTAATAAATTAAATCACATTCAGTAAATGAATTTATTGCAAGATATTAATATTGGTGTATTCTTAAAAAATGGTATAAAATTATCAAATAAAAATAATTTGATACTATATCTATAGAGTAAAATTTAGCGATGAAAATTAATCAAATATTTTTAATATAACTAAGATTTTGATTAACGAACATAAAACATATATTTTTATGAGCAGTTAATAAACATATAATATTCAGGACTATGAATTATATGCATTTATAAATTTAGAAGCGTCCTAAGATTTTACAACTGTCATAGGATTATAAGTAACGCATACATTTTTTATTTTAGAAAGCGTATGAACCTCTATAATCTCTACCAAAACTGAAGTATCGGCAAAACACTACTATTTTTTAATTAATAAAAATTTGAACTGACTGATGGTGTGTTCGAATTAACTTAACAATATGTGTAAAATGCATATAATTCATAGCTCTGATAATATTAATAAATAAAATGGGTGCTGGTGGTGAGGATGCGACTTTAATTAATTTTAGTAGGGGGTGCGATCGTCCTGTCGTCCAAGCAACGAGCCTTCACTGATATCAAATATAGTAACAATTTTTTTTCCTCGTGGTTTGCTCGGACCGGTGTTAGTGATTACAACAATTATAATGCAATGCTTACAGTGTATTCAACTCTGGAGGGACGAATCAGTTTCAACAGAAGTCACTGCTGAATGTCGTAGTATGGTGCCCAATAATGACAATGAATAAATTTTGTTTTCCAAGATATGTTAAATTAGAATCGTTAAATTACAACTATACGGTTTAGCCTATTGAAGCGCATGAAAAACGTATTTACATTAGAAGCCCGGGCGAAAACTGTTAAGAAATGGTACATTTATTATGAGAGAAGTGCAAGGTCACGCCTATAAAAACGATATCACTACCTAACTTGAATTTTGTAGAGTGCTATTATTAACACGTTTGGCCAGCCTTTTAGTGCCGAAGTTGAAATGTAAAATTGATCGGCGATTTTATTCAATTTTGACCAATTCAGACATAACCCTCGCTTGGATTTCATCTCCATCTGCTAAATGGAAAATATTAGTGGCGCATCGTGTTGATGAAATCCAAGACAACATAGTTCTCAATGAGAAGTTTTACGTCCGCTCGGAAGAAAGTTTTAATTTCATCGTAGTTGTATTCCAAAAGATCTACGTATCAACACGATGCGATAGATTGTTCCTCCTTGGTTGAAGGAGTATGAGAGCTGATCGAAGTCATGAATATAATATGGCAATATGAAAACATACCAGAAGCCAAAAATACATATGAAACGATAATTACAACGGTAGCATGTGTAGTAGACGATAATGTTAGTCATTGTTATCTAGAAGGTCATCACTATTATTCATAATCAGAGTGACAGATCATTGTTTACGATGGCGATACAAAGTGAAACGGTCAATAGGTGATAATAATAATGGGTCCTTAACTTAAATAGACATTTCGAATACGACAATTATCAATATAATTCAATATAAACATTCTCGGCAAGGTTTAAAAGATGTATGATTTAATGTTTATGTGGAATTTAAGAAAAACACAAATAATTTCACGACGATGTTTAATAAAAATATCAATAAGTTCCAAAAAAAAACTAGTAAATTTAGTAGTTGAAGTGGTCCGTCAAATCAAAATTAGTCAGTCAGTCAGGTAGTGTTTTCGGTGTGGGAGAAATCATGATCATTGTACGTGTCCAGCAAAAGAAATGTT